CCGGTTAGTTTTCATATATCATTATGTAAATTTAGTATTTAAAAAAAAACTTTAAGAAATCCGAGAAAAAAACAAAAATCACTTTTAAAAATTGGAATTAAAAACATGAATACTAAATCTACATAATGATGAGAAAATAAATTGAATTTTCGGAATCGCTAACGATCAAACGAATGACGGGATCCAAAATCCGGTTAGTTTTCATATATCATTATGAAAATTTAGTATTAAAAAAAACTTTAAGAAATCCAGGAAAAAAACAAAAATCAATTTTAAAAATTGGAATTAAAAACATGAATACTAAATCTACATAATGATGAGAAAACAAATTGAATTTTTGGAATCGCTAACGATCAAACGGATGACGGGATCTAAAATCCGGTTAGTTTTCATATATCATTATGTAAATGTAGTATTAAAAAAAGCTTTTAAAAATCCGGGAAAAAAACAAAAATCACTTTTAAAAATTGGAATTAAAACCATGAATACTAAATCTACATAATGATGAGAAAACAAATTGAATTTTTGGAATCGCTAACGATCAAACGAATGACGGGATCCAAAACCCGATCAAACGAATGACGGGATCCAAAATCCGGTTAGTTTTCATATATCATTATGTAAATTTAGTATTAAAAAAAAACTTTAAAAAATCCGGGAAAAAAACAAAAATCACTTTTAAAAATTGGAATTAAAAACATGAATACTAAATCTACATAATGATGAGAAAACAAATTGAATTTTTGGAATCGCTAACGATCAAACGAATGACGGGATCCAAAATCCGGTTAGTTTTCATATATCATTATATAAATTTAGTATCAAAACTAAAAAAAGCTTTTAAAAATCCGAAAAAAAAAACAAAAATCACTTTTAAAAATTGGAATTAAAACCATGAATACTAAATCTACATAATGATGAGAAAACAAATTGAATTTGTGGAATCTCTAACAATCAAACGAATGACGGGATCCAAAATCCGGTTAGTTTTCATATATCATTATATATATTTAGTATCCAAGTTAATTGTTAAAAAAAAAATCTATTAATTTAGAAAGAAAAAAAGATGGGATAAAAATTGACCTTTCATATGGGCTGAATTTGTTTCTTTTGTTGGGCTTTGTTGTGCAAAAGCCTTATGATGATATCAATCCAACTCCCACCACCGTGACCGGAAACGCCAGAGCCACTTTAATCTAACTCCGATACATGCACCACCTCTCTCTATCGCCATCTCCGTCGCCGATTATTGCTGCTCGCAATAGAGAAGCTCTAACATCATGTCGTCTCTAACTTCATGGAGTTATTTGATTCGTCTCAGTGAGATCTCACCACTCACCGATCGCTGGAATGATTCTAAACGAAGGGCTCATCTTGGTCGACGAAGAGTCTACATCATCTTCCATCACGCTCGTCTCTTGTTTGATTTGTCAAAGAGTTATGACAACACAACAAGTCAAACGTCAAACAAGTTGGAGACAAAGATGAACAATTGCGCATGAAATTGCATCTCTCTCTCTCTCTCTCTCTCTCTCTCTCTCTCTCTCTTTGTCACTCTCTCTCTCTCTCTCTCTGTTTTTCTCTATTTTTGTGATGATACTAAAACGTTGAGACAGATACAGAGAGAAGAGAGGAGGCACCGGATGTATATATAGAGACTTGGATTCGAAGTTTCCTTTTTTTTTACTCATTCTGTGTTTTTGTTTCCTTTTTATTTAACTCTTTTGTGTTATTTCCTTTTTTTTAAAACTCTTTTGTCGTTGTTTCCATTTTTTTGAACTCTTTTTTGTTTGTTTCCTTTTTTACTTAGGTTCGGGAAAGTCTGTTCAGGATTCGTGATAGATAAACTTACATCAATCTTACATAGCCAAGATTAGAGTGAAGAAGAAGATAGTTGTGTTCAGGATTTTAATATTGAGTCTATGAAGATTGAAATGGAATCAACCAATGAGAGTCTCGCAAATGCTCATGAGGCTGCCTGCAAAAGCTTCTTCTGTGCAGCGATGACGAGCAAGAGAGCAATGGAAGATTTCGCATTGGCTTTGGATTTGATGAGATCATATTGGTTTCTAATTTATATTATGATCGATTTACATTTTGGTGAGAAACGGCAAAACACATAATTTTTATTGAAACAGAAACTGTGGAAACAAAACAAAAACAAGTCAAGCTGTTTCTTGGTGTGATCCTTGGAACATGTTCGGATCAAACTTATTTTCAGTTGCAAGTCAGAAGAAACAACAACTCTGGAAAAAACCCCTTTTAGATCTGTCCTAAGATGACTTCTGCCCCTGTAACCTTGAAGTCAGACGGTGCTTCTTCCACATTCACCGCCTTAACCTTACCGTCTTCTACATAAGCCGACCATCTGAACATGGACATCATAATTCCAACGAATCTGTTAGATCAATGGTTCACGATACAAACATTTCTACAAATGGACTTTGCAGTGTATTACCTCTCAGACCGTGGCCCGAGTAATGCAGCAGAGAGATCCTTGTCTAGCCCCAAGCTTTTGTGGAATTTCCCATCAAAATCCCCATAAAACTCAATCTGGTATGACAAAAGTTTAAGAGCATCACATTAAGTCATTAGTTCTAGCATGTAACACTATCCGAACATAAACATAGAAATATATTGTAATGCTAGTCCATATCAAGAATTATGAATTTTCTAATAAAATAACAAGGGTTGTCAAGTTAATCATAGTATCAAATCTTTTTTATCGTCTATTGATGTGAATGTAAGCTTGAGACCATAGATGATGTGAAATAATAGAGTAATAGTCCTAACTATAAGAGGTAGATTACTATCAGGACGTCAACAAGAGCTACATACCAAAAGGAGTTAAAAGATTCCTAAATGATCCATCTTCACCACTCAAAAACTCTTAGACAACAAAACCAGGAACCGGATAATATAATATCATGTTTCAAAATCAAGTTTTCTGAAGCAAATAACCAAACCAGCAGACACTAAACATGGATGAACTTACTGCATCTTTGGCACCAAGCTTCTCAGCCCAACCATTGATAGCATAGGGATCATTAACAGAGACACATACGACAGAATCAATGCCTTTAGCCTTAAACTTATCAATGTGGCTCTTGTAGCTAGGCACATGCTGCTGCGAACAAACTCCCGTGTAAGCCCCCTGCACACAGAAAACAGATATTCCGGCACAACATCAGAACTCAGAAACATGATCAAGACATAGAGGAAGATGAAAGGATAGAAATTTTCTTACAGGGAGTCCAAAAATGACGACTTTCTTCCCCTGTAACCAATCAATATCCACAAACGTTTTGTCAGAAATTGAAATTCCCCTCTGAATTGAAATTGTCCGAAAAGAGAGAATCGAACCTTGAAGATATCTGACAATGGTGTGGTGGAGAATTTGGAGGAAACGCCTTCGTCCCAGCTCCGAGCTTTCTGGAGAGAGACGCCGGGAGCCGCCGAGGTTATGTCAGTGCCCTCCGCAAGCTTTGAGAAACCCCTCGAGGAAACTCCGATCCGGGCACTATTTGCGGCCGATCTTAAAGCCGATAAATTTCTTAGCTTTAGAATTGACATCGCCATCGCTGAAAATGAGGTCGAGACGAGACTGGTTCCTTCGATTTACTGTAGAGTGTTGTTGTTTATGTGTCACTTCTAATTTCTTAAAGACCTTTCTGAAGAAACTTAACCGTTTGCCGTTTTGTAACAAACGAATCAAACTGCACGTTGTTTAAAGGCCTCCGGAACAACACACACTTTAACGTCTCAAATTTGGTTTTTAAGTTTGGGTTTTAAAGGTTGGTGCACCTCTTTCAAAAACATCTTATATTCATATTGTGAAAACTGAAAAGCAAACATTCACTTCCTGAACAAGTAAAAAATACATTCAAATGAGTTTTCTGATTTCTCTACAAATAAAACAGAGCTTGTTTTAAGACCGGCATGAATCTTGACGAGTTACTACAAAACTATCAGCAATAATCGTGGTAGACGACTGAGAGACTCCAATTTCAGAAGAAAGTTTCAAGTACCCATCTATGTTTCTGCTTCTGCCAAAAAAAAACTTCAAGAAACATTGTCGGGCTCTCTGAAATTACAAAAGAGAAAGCAAAGTTAGAATAGTGATATAGCAGTCAAAGCAAGAGGAAGTATTATTTAAGGACAAAACGAACAACTTGATGGGCATTAAACACTTACTATTTGGTTTTGGTTTTGCTCCATTTTTCAATGGCTTTATACCAATCCCATTGAAAGAAGAGAGCGATTAATCTTATAGGCCCTGCGGTTATTACTTCGAGAAATGCTAGCCAAAATGATCTTTGAGGGGACATGCCGGTTGTCGCGAGAGACAGTAAGAATCCCTCAAAGTTGCATGAGACAGTGAACTTTCCTGCTTTTATGCCATCCATAGCTTTTCTGGCTACTTCTTCTGTTTCCATTGAACCAGAAGATGCAGCTATTATGGCAGTGACGTCAGGTCTACTCTTCTGTTCTGAGAGAGCACACAAGGAAAATCAAACAAACTCATAATATCAACCAAGGAACTCAGAACATCAGTCCATTATGTGTTGACTTCATTCTCAGAGAGGCTAAACACTATCACAGTCAGTACTCAGTACTTAATTCACCACTCTATCAATTTCTCCTAACTGGTACTCTCATAGAACATGTGAAAATGAAATGCTACGCGTTCGATAGAGTACACAATTATTCAGACCAGATAAGGGCACAGATTTGATCTCATAATAACAAAGTACAAACTAGATCAAAAATAGTTTATGTCTACATATCTCCCAACCATATAGTACAGCCTAATTTAGTAATCTGTCTCCAACTCTTTTATGCATTTAATTGCCTTAGTATTTAGTGGCAGTACCTAATCCTAGCTACCTTCACATGTTATACTTAGATTATCTACTCTATGCATCCATAATGAATCAAAAAATTACTAACGCTTTTTTACCTTCTTCAAAGCCGGGTGTATTGGTGTCAGGAGGAAAAATAAGAGTGACATGAATGTCATCAGCAATAACTTCTTGTTGCAGTGCTTGTGCTAAACCCTGAAGACCAAACTTGCTTGCTGAATATGCAGCGTAACCATAGACACCCACCTGAAAAAATTATAAAACATCCTTCATCGTTCTATCTTTGAAACTGCATTACATGAGGTCACATAATACACAAAGTTACTCCAATTAACTACAATCTCCAGAAGAAACTTTTAAATCCCTAAAGGTGGGAAATTTGAGAGACGAACCTGACCAGCTTGAGAGGAGACGAGACTGATGGAAGCAGGCCCACGATCTTTCCTTGCTTTCATGGCGGGCAAAGCGGCTTTAATCACATTGAAGCTCCCAACAAGATTCACGTCAATCGTGAATTTGACATCCTCAGGACTATGTGTCACCAGCTCCTTCGCCGTAAACACACCTTGATTAACAATCAACACATCGATCGGTCCCGATTCGTCAATCGCCTTCGACACTGCATCGTAATCGCGAACGTCGGCGGAGAATGTGGCGACTTCGACACCAGTGGCGAGCTGGATCTCCTTTTTAGCTTCCTCTAGCTTTCCGGCGGATCGGGCGAGGATTGAGACACGAGCACCCTCGGCAGCGGCGCGGTGGGCGAGAGCAAGACCGATGCCGCTAGATCCACCGGTGATGAAGACGTGACGGGACTTGATAGGGATCTTAATGGGGCGAGGACGTACGATTAGGGCTAGGATAGCGAGAATCGAGAGTGGGACAATGGGAATGAGGAAGAGAAGGAAGAAAGGAGAAATGGCCGCCATTGATCTCGTGACAAAGCTCTCGGCGATGTGAAGCTCCGTTACGAATTTATTGGAGATAACAAAAAAAAAAAAAATACCAAACCAAAAACTCGGTTTAGGGATTTCTATCTAAACCGGCCGTTTTTGAATTTTTGGCTGTGATGATTTTGTCATTGTGTTTCACAAATTGATGTAACAAAATAAAACAATTAACACTTCTCATTACCTTATTTGTTGTAGTAAACTAAATTATGTTACACAATTTATTGAAAGAGATAAATAAACAATCATATTATTTTGATTTTCCTTTTGTGAAACCAATTTCACAAGAGAACGTGTTACGTGACTACTACTACGTGTGAATCATAGAATTTAAAAAAGATTGTGCAACTTGTAAGAAACAGATTTTGAGTTAATATTTTCACATATGGGTGGTTAGTCTTATTTGACATTTAAAACTAAGTTAAGAAAATACAGCTAGTTGACAGAAAACATACAGCTCTGCTCCATATAAATGTCTAAATTAAATTAGAATTTTTTTTTAATTTAAAAAATGATTATTTGAAAGAATATACATATAATTCCATGTTTGTTTAATAAAAAGAAATTAAATATACTAAATGGGAAAACGAGAGTGATGGGCATGTGGGTGAGAGTCTGTGACAGTATTTAGATCTGACTTTGTCTATTCAAACATTGTTGCCAACATAACTGTAACTCTGTAAGTTTGAGGTCCCAAAGAGATTGATTGGGTCTAGACCTGACTTGGAAGATTTTCCAATCTCACAGGGGACTTGTCCTGATCCAGATTAATTTACCTCCATTGATCCTTGACTGATTTGATCATTTAGGAACTAATTTCATGGATGTTGCTTCATTTAACTTCAAATGATTAGAGAAAGTGATTATATGATTAAAAAAAAAAAGTGAGCCAATTAATCTCTGTCGGTTGTTGAATAAATCACACCAAATCCCTTTAGATTGATGATTTCTTCTTCATTCTTATTATTTGCTGATTTTACAAACATAATCTATAAAAAATCAATAATGAATTATATATAATTATGAATTAATGACACAATTCCATGTCTTTGAATCTTGATTGACTAAGTGAAAAGAGATGCTGCATCTCTGTAGGTTCTTCTTGGGTTAGTAGAAGGATGATAAAAGGTGATGCTTTCTTGGTTGTTGTTGTTGAGAGTTGTGGGATTGTAGTCATGAACATGATGATGAGGAAACTGTTGCTTGGGGATGAAGGAACCAAATCTCCCTTGCTTCTTCTGATGAGGATGATGATTATGTTTCCTCCTTGGCTGAGAAGATCTTGGGATGAACACTCCTGTTCCCTTGCTCTCTCTTGCGTTGTAATTGATCTGCTCATTGTACATCATATATGGTGTTGCTGATGTTTGGTAGTTTCCTCTGAACAAACCCTGTTTCGTTATCAACATCACGGTTAATCACTAATCAAGAGAGATATAGGAGAGAGAAAAAGAGAAGAGTTAAATTTGGACAAACCTGGAAAGAGACAGAAGAGGAAAGTGAAATAGGGTTTTGTTCATCTTCATCTGTGATTAAGAGATTGAGTTGCTTGCTTATGTCTGCAAAGAAGACATCATCATCAAGCTCAAGCTCCACAGCCACTTCCATGGCCATATATCTATGCTTCAACTAGTCTCTTGATTAGCCTTTTGTTGTCTGTAGAGAAAGAAGTATTTTTAAAAAATGGTTTCATCAAGTGGAGTTGTGAGGGGGAATGTTCAAAGGGTGGCATAAATAGGCAAGAGATTGGGGTTTAAGAGAGAGAGAGCGAAAGAGGGTAGAGAGAGAAGTGCATGTGGGAGAGTGGGGCCAGAGTAAACATCGAAGAAATGTAATCTAATCTGGCAAAAGTAAGTCCCTACACACAAATGGATCATGAAGGAAGGTTTGTGCAATGATGTTGTATCAACTACTTGCAAATCCTATAAAGATATTTTAATCAAAAGGTCACAACTCACAACAAGAACAAAACACCCATATCTATCTCAAATTTATATTTTCTTCATTACACATAAATAACTTTATTACATCTCATCCACAAAAACCCATCCCTCTCACTCTCATCTCTCCCTAAAACAAAAACTCGTTTTCTTGTATGGCTCAAAGTTCATAGTTTCAGTAATCTCCACTAAAGATGGAATTCCTAACTACCTTATCCAATGACTTTCTTAGTCAATACCATCAGAAAATACAAAAATATATATATATACTATATATAAATAATAATATTCATATACATATATGATACGATCATTTATGAGTTTTCACTAAATCATTTCTTTCATATTTATAGTATATATATGCAGAGAAAACAAATTTACATTGTTAAGAAAAATGAGAAAATAAAAATATCATCTGCGAAGCATATATATCAAATTTTTCCATAATTTTTTTTTTATTTTGCATGGTTACTCAATGCATTAGGTTTTTAACTTTATAAAAATATTATTTTTTGCAGTCATTTGCATTTGCATCCATTAAAAAACGAGAGCACATGTCCACGATGGGTGACCTATGCATATACAAACTATATGGAACCGTGGGGACGTATTGGATACGTTTTAACTATTTAAGGATCGGAGCTTATGGTAGCTGGATTCGCCATCAGAAGAAGAAAACAAAGTTGCGCGATTGGAATGAAACGCAATCGGAGAAAAACTTAAGCAAACACAAAAAAATTCCGATCAAAATGAAGAGAATGAATCGGAGAAGAAGAATATAAGAGATTCAAGAAGATCAAACGAAGAAAAAAGAGTGAAATTAAGCTTGCGGAAGATGAATGAAGCATGACGTTGAAGAAAAGCTCTGATACCATTTCAGATTTAACAACCTTTTCATTGTTTTAGAATTTATGCTTCATTAACTTGTAAATTAACAATGAATGTTGTTTAAATACAAACACCTAAACCAGGAAAACAATTGTAAACCAGAGGCTAAAGTAAACCAGAACATTAAACCATGATATAATCTAATATCGACATTCAACATGTTAATTAGGAGAATAAAGTCGGAACCTTTATTTTAGCTTTTGTACGAAATACGTTGATTGTTCGTTGTTAGCCTCGTGAAGAAAATATGTTCAACCTCGCTTCAACGAATATCATTGACCTAATCTAAACATGTCGGTTGTCGAAGTGCTAATTAAATTTATATTGTTTATTTTGTCTATCTAAAACTAATAAATTAAATTGACTCTTAAGAAAATATAGTTACAAAGTGGTGCTTTGAGTAGTTGGTGAATTAAATCAATCTAGTGGGTTATGTAACAAAATTAGCGTTGTGGACATTCACCGTGAGCCGCATTTGAAGTGGACAATTGAGGAAATGGAATTTAGGAATATGGATTTTTTTGGAGATAGGAAGAAAGAAGAAAACAAAGAAGAATCTATCTCCATGATTTTATTTGGTTGGAGTCTTATAGGTACTCTTTTGTGGAAGTGGGGTCATACACCGGTCAAGTTGGTTATTTTGAACTATACGACTCCAAGTCAAGATCTTATATGAGTTTGTTCTCCATTTTTATGATATTACAACTATTTTCTCACAATATACAAACAGTATAAATAGTTCCCTTTTATGCTATGGGATTTTAGAATCTAGATTAATTTAATAAAATTTAGAGTCGCCCCATGTAAATCATTGAAGTGATGAGAGTTATATGTTTATTGATAGATGACATCAATTAACAAGTGATTATCATTGTACAAGGTCACTTAATTCTAACTCAATTATTTTACGTATACATATATAATAATACAATAAATAGAAACTTATCCGAATTTGGATATGTTTTTCAATTTTCATGATTTACACCCACAGAAATATTTAAAAGGGCAAATAATAGAAGACCACAAGGTTTTGTATAGATAAGCTACTCTACCCTACACGCACAATTCCAACTTGCAAACTTTCCCGGATATGGCCCGTAAATCAAACCAAACCGCCTTAAACCAAATTTCAGATCCAAGTGAACTCAGTTTATTTCTAAGTTTTACTCCATGATCCCCAAATGACCAAAGAAAAATAAGATAAGAGTAAAGTATTTGAGAGGAGAATCACTGAGAGAATTTACAATCACAGATTCTCTCACGAGCTTCTTGCTAAGGCTCATGTCTTGTCACAATCACCGACTTGGGATATTATTTAGCCTCACCGACTTGTCTTTTATGAATCATAATGACTCGATTCCCTGAAAATGAAATGGCCTTCATATGATTAATATAATATATAAATTATACGGAAAAACAAACGTAAAACCTATCCATAAAAAGACTTTCATGCATTTAATGACACAACAAACACTCGTTTTTTTAAGTTGCCATCGACTAGGGCAACGGTGTCGAGCCGGTGGAAGATCGTGTGGTCGACGTGGTATGGTTTTCACGTCTCGGTTTCGGTTTGGTTTACACCTTGATGATTTTTGGTATGGACCGTATGGTTCAATTATTTCGGTTAAGTGATAGCTTATAAAACAAATGCTATGAGAGAATTCGTCGTTGTAAAAATATTAAAGTACACTATCATAACTTTTTCTATGGTTTTTTTTTTTCTTTTTCTTTTACTAAAAATATAAATATTTCACTAGAAATGAAAAAGGTTAAGATTTACGCACAGTAAAACTTATAATTTGGACACATGGCAGACAAAAAAAAAAAACACTATAAAAGCAAATAAAAATGGTTAATACTTGGAGTCACTTCTAGGGGTAAATCTTTTTATTCACTCTTTTTTATTTTAACCAATCAGAATTCACCATATAATAAAAAAATTAAATTCATTTAATTATTAAATGTAATTCCTAACCACTCTTTTATTAACCCAAACCGATATATAATCTCGTTTAATTACAAAATCTAAACTCTAATTCTCCTTTGTAAACCAAACCGCCATTTAAACTCGTTTAATCGTAAAAAACCTAAACTCTAATCGTACTTTCTAAACTCAAACCAAAATTTAACCTCATTTAATTGTAAAATTTAAATCCGTTTATAAACCCAAACTGATATTTAACCTCGTTTAATCATAAAGTCTAAACCCTAATCGTACTTTTTAAACTCAAACCGATATTTAACCTCGTTTAATTGTAAAATCTAAATCTGTTTATAAACCCAAACCGATATTGCACTTCGTTTAATTATAAAATTTAAATTTTAATCCTTTCAAATAAACCCAAACCGATACATAATTTCATTTTAGCGGTAAATTAGATTTTATAATTAAATGAAATTTTTATTTTTTTTACTAGATGATAAATTCTGATTGGCTAAAATAAAAGGGGTGAATATAAGAGGTTCATAGACATCAACAAAAAGTATTAACTTTTTCTATGGTTTCCCAAACAAAAGTTGAATATTGCAACTTTCGGGGTATAATATAGGGATAATGGTTACGATTTCAAAAAAAGTTTCTTACTCTAGCTTTTTGATACACAACACATATGCACGTCACTATGTCTGCACGTAAAAGATAACCTTTTTTCAACAAATGGGAGTGGCCAGAGAGGCACAAATACGTGCACTCGTTAACTCGAATTTCAAAATATTACGAGACACATATGAACATGATCTAGACAATATCCGTATTTGTTCTCTTTGTCACCAATTCACATCTTCGTCCATATCATGTGAAACCAATGTCCGACCATTCGTCTTTTTTTTTTTTTTTTTTTTTTTCATCAACCGACCATTCGCCTAAATGTGAACGTTGTTTCATAAGCCAACGATATCTCGGAATTTTACTCTTTTCAGTGGATCCTGTGAAAATCCCAGTTTTTGGGTTTAGGCCCAAAACTATTATAGTAGTCGCCAAGATTAATAATTATTTTAAAATCAGCCGCTGTAAATGCAACTTCTGAACATATAAAACAGCAATGGCTGCTCAAAGAAAAGACGGTCATCCATCGCTTTACTATCACGGTCCGCTTGGTCCTGCACCGCTGCATCGCCAAGACTGTAGCCACTGGTGTCTTCCCGGTGTTCCTGACACGTGGAACGAGCTCTTCTATGCATTATTTATGAAACAAGAAGCTCCTTGTTTCCGCCTATACTATTGGGCCCTAAGCCCGAGTTCTTCTTGTTTCCGGCTTCGTAAAGAAACAGAGAACCGATTGTTTTTGGTCTCCTGAGTATATTTTACTGTATATTTGAATCTTCGAAAAATAATTTTAAGGTTTTTTTTTTTAATTTTTACAACCAAAGATTAAGATTTATCAACCTAATTACATATATTCCCACCCGATTAATCTAATCACCCAATCAAAAAATCCCAAACCCTTTTTGATCTTTGAGCTCAGCATCTTAGAAAAAAACCGCCAACAGCTTTCAGAAACAAGAGCTTGTTGTGGTTTCCTTGTTCAGTCCAGCGTCATGACATTCCTGTAGTATTCGCTTCTTCAACTCTTTTAGAAGAAGAAGGAGCTTCTTGTTTCATAAATAATGCATAGAAGACCTCGTTCCACGTGTCTGGAACACCGGGAAGGCACCAGTGGCTACAGTCTTGGCGATGCAGCGGTGCAGGACTAAGCGGACCAAGATAGTAGAGTGATGGGTGACCGTCTTTTCTTTGAGCAGCCATTGCCGTTATGTCCAACACCTTCATTTTAACAGTCTCTGATCTGTTCGAGTAATGTGACAACACATCTCTGAGGATCTTTGACTGTTCCCATGTCTCTGATGAAGCCAATAAGGTTCCAATCTCTGGTAATGTCTCCATGTGACATGTTCCTCCTGTTTTCCAATCTCCTCCCCTGTTTCATACAATGACACAGACAAATCAAAACTAAATGCAAAACATTCTACAATATCATAAGACTACACCGAATCAAGCAACTGACTATTACATACGATTGAATCTTAATGAAGGAGTGAAAAGTAATACCGTACAAACCTGAAATGCACGGGAGCGAATGTGCGAAAAAAGACTTGAGTTTTGTTTGAATCGACCTCGGTATGTATCCAATTCACAACGGTATTCAGAGCGCGCTTATAAGCATCATCTACATTCATCTTCAATTTCACTTCTTCTCCTTCTTGAAAGTAACATCCCCTGTTGGTAACAACATTCAAGATTTGGTCATAGGAACAAAAGTCAGACAAGTGATTGATGAGGTATCGAACTCGGGTATACATGACAAAACTTACGTTCTAGTAGTTTTTCCCTCGTTCCACCAATGTCCAGTATTGAGCACTAAAACGTCTGCATCTCTCCATTTGCTTGAAGTCCAATCCATAGTCTCCAGTTTCAAAGTTGTCTTAACTTTTTGGGGTGATCCAATCGGTGGTCTGCTTTGAGGAACTAAAAACGGAGATCTGTAGTACTCCACAGTGCAATTGTACTCCTCAAATTTGAACACCAAGAACCCTTTGTGCTTTGTGATGGGACTTCCGTTTATTTCATAAATTAAGCTTTCGTTCTTGACTGCAGAAGATAGTAGACAAAGAAGAGACTCCCACTGGTTTCTTCCTATTGAATCTCCAACAAACACTAGCCGCTTGTCCCGGAGTTTCTCCAGCATCAGTTTAGCATCAAATCTAATTCAAAACAGAAAAATAGAGTCAGCAAAGTAGTGCCTTCAAAGACAAAACTAAATTCGTAAGAGTTTGAAAGTTCTTTCAGAATTGATTCTTTCTCTTTTATAAATATCTGCAATCAAGTTTCCCACAAGAATTGACCTTTACTCAAACTATTCCACAAAACCACTGTCAAATACTTTGCTTGATCGTGGTGGAATTCAAATCCTAGACATATAGTTCATAGTTCAGGAAACAACACGGACAAACTATTGTGCATACATGTTATTTGGTAACCAATCCTGTCTTTCCAATTTAACTCACGGGTTCATACAATACAAAACAAAAGCCTTTATAAAAAAGAAAGAGCACACACATTGATTGGTGAAGAAATAGCTGTTTGATGTAAATGGGAAATGGAAGAAGAAGGGACCATAGAAAAGATCAAATCAAGAGAAGAGAACAAAAAGAGCCACTGGCTTTAATAGCAAAATCTGATGACTAGTTTCACGAGATTATGCTTATCCTAAGCCGTAACTTGCGGACAACTGGAGAAGAGACCATAGAAAACGACATCAAAGCTGAAAGTAACAAAACTTAAAGAACCTCTGACTTCTCTTCTCCATAGACCAAAGATTTGATAAATCTCAATCCCAAAAAAAAACTTTTGATCTACCAGAAATTACTGACTACACCAAAATCTCCATTCCAATAACTAAACTCTATAGAAAACAAACACAATTTCATTTGTAATTTCACACCAAATGGCAGAAATTGCCTAGAACACAGAAGAAACTTAAAAAGCTCTGATTTCTCTAAGATTCAATAACCCTTTTGGTTTCCAAAGAATACTCTGTTTTAAGTGCAAACATGAATTAAAGAACACCAAGTGGCAGAAACTGAGTAAGAACAGAGGAAACAATCGAATTTTCCGGGAAAACAGAATCAAACCTGGGCAAATTACAGTGTCTAGGTTGCCATCGCCACTGAGTATAGAACAAATCAGACCTTCCAAAGTCACTACACCTAAACCCTTCATCGAGAAATCTGCAATCTTTGGATTGATACAATGGATAAGACTCGTCCCAAACCCAATCTCCATCGAACACATCACAGCCATTTCCACTCTCTTCCAGAAATCCAACTCTCTTTGAACTATTACTACTAGTGTTGCTGCTGATGTTGTTGTCAAGCTTGAGCCAAACGAATCTGTCTGATTTATCCGAAAGGCCATAGCTTTTAGCTACGTTTCTGTAATCAAATAAGAAAAAACTGCAAACCAAACACACCCCAACCAAAAAGAACCCCAACACTCCTAAAGACGGCTCGAACACTAGCCTTGACCTTTTGAATCTCTTCAAAGCTTCACAGATTGGCTTTGCTCCTCCGTTTTCTTCAAGGTTTGAGTTCTTAGACATCTGAAGGTAATTATACCTATAAGAAATAGAAAGGCTTTGTCTTTTGGGTTTGAGAATTCAAGAAATTGGTAAAGTAAAGAAGAGTGAAATCATGACGAATGAAGATGAAGCAAGTAGAGGATTGTTAATGGAAGAAAGAGCTTTGCTTGGTTGGTCAGTTTCGTTTCTTTTTGTTTAAAAATTATGAAGAATGATGCGAAAAACATGTGTCAAGGAAACGAGGAAACACTCATGGATAGATGTTTTGTTGCGCTTTTTCTTCCACCGGAAAAATTGAAACTTTTTTAGACAAGAGAAGACGAAGAGAGAAGTATATTGGTAACAACAACAACAACAATGGCGATTCGGTTCGAATCCAGACAAGCGAAAATCAAAAGAAAACTCTCAACTTTCTCTTCTTGTCTTTTTGTGTTCACATTCACAAGGAGAGAGAAAGATGAGTGGCTATATTGGTTGAGAATCGTGGGTTTTTAAATTATTGGTTCAAATTAATTCCTCTTTATTTGTTTTTGTTTTCAGAATCGAAAAAAATAACTCTTCAATTTACCCAGATTATTTTTTAATTATTGAAATAAATCTGTGCTTATGTAGTAACTTTAGATTTTCTTAAAACCTTGAAAGTGAAGCTTCATAAATAATTAAGAGTCAAAGCTAGTAATATCCAGAAACAGTAAGAAATTAACCAATATTTAAATAACTTTCCAGAACAAATATTCTTAGTCTTACAATCTACAATTACAGGTCAGAAACAGCAAACAATTTCATAGAATTTTTTAAATTTGTTTCTATATAATTTTTTGTAAGAGAAATACAAACTAAATTACTTATTGTTAAGCAAAGCAGCTATGTAACTGTTTTGTTAGTAATATGTACACGCGCTTTACCTGCACGTGAGATCATTCATGTCGTAGAGGGCAAGCGCGCGTGGAAGTTAAAACTGTACGATGGTGCGTGGGAAAAAATGTTATGAGTGGTGATAATGGTGGGGCCGCTGGCCGTGTGCACTTTTATTAGTGGGGGTTTTAAATTCGTCTACCTGAAAAAAAATACGTAATTACGTAAAATCTTTAGTAAATGTAATTTGCGTTTAATCCTTTTTTGGGAATCAAATTTTGTGAAGTAAAAAACTCTTGATTCCTTGCTTTAACAGAGAGATTGTTCTATAATGGAACAATATATGAGTGATAAAGATGACTAACTTACAGTTTTGAAATTAGATAAATTGGCACCTGATAAATGTTAGATAAAAATGGGAAAAACAAAAACTGTATTTGTTATGGGATTTGGTACATACTACACTACACAGTAAATGGTAGATTTTTTTGGATGAAATTATAGTTTTTATAATTGTTATTTGAGATCCGGAATTTTTTTTGGTTGTATAAGAAAAATAATCAGAATGCGAAAGAATTTAAACATCCAAATATGTTTTACTTTTACGCTGTGGTGTGGGGTATATATCCGAGTTGATGATCATAATTCATAAACTTTGGTATTAAATACACAGTAGATAAATTATTAGTCGAGTCATTTAAGCTTTTGATAAGGCATATAAGTTAAGAAAATGGGGTTATTATCATGTTATGGCACTAAGCTCGTATATTCCAAAGTTTAATGACAAAAAATAAAAGATATAGAAAATAAACAATGTATCGGTCCCAGGCTTTGACGTTTGACAAAATGACAACCAGCGGTCCCATGCTTTTTACAAACATTTAAAAAAAAAAACGTTAGTATGGAAAGAGATTTGTCGCCTTTGACCTCTTTCTAATCATTTAGATAAACATTTACAAGGTGAATTAATGTTAGCAAATAGAGGTAGTTGGAAAATAACACCATTATCAAATGAAGGTTGATAGGCTTGAATGCTTGATAATGGGATTTTAGGCACTGGTCAGTCCCACATGCAAGTTACGACAATAAAGTCCGACGTGAGAAAAAATTGTAACTAAGAAAAAATCGAATTTCAACTAGAATTTGTTATTTCCGAACAAAATTTTACTAGCTGAATTTTTTTTTGGGCTCAATGAATATACTTTAATCATATAAACAATTTTTTCGATTAAAAAAATCATCTTATATGAGAAATTAAAAGGTGTAGGGACCAATAGCATGCCATAAATGTAATAATCAATAGCGTTAAGCATCAAATATTTTTCTCTATACTACTCCTATCTTTATCTTATCAGTTATCAGCTACTTATCCTTATCAGCTTCGTCACCTTTTTTTTTTTTGGTGTCACTACACTAACTTACGAAAATGTTTTACTAATATATTACTAGCTGCAAAATGTATTACAATAGGCTATAATTCCAAAGAATTGCAATTTCTTTGGATCGGACTATCGGTATCGTGATTATTTAAGACACCCCCTAAAAGCCAAAATCTGTTTTGGTTTAACCCAATTACACCGGAACCAAATAAACGTATCTACAATTCACATTATTTATACAAAAAATAGAACAAACACGAAACGAAGCCGAAAATGATTATATTTTTTTCTTAAAACATTACTGTTGACGGATGGATCGGGTCTGGGCCCGACTAAAGCCATGTCCGTTTAAAAGCCCAAAAAGAAATCAAACAGACCCAATAAAGGAAAGGCCCATTAAACAAACTAAAGTTCAGCCCAAATTCGGAACGACCGCCATCACACCGGGAAGGGTAAAATTGTCATCTATAAATACCGAAATAGATGGCAGAGGATCCGCAATTTCTCCTGACACGTAGAAATACAGTTGAGCTCGTTTTCACGCTTCTCGACTCGTCTTTAAACTCTCCATCTCGTCTCCAAAGTCTATACAATTAAATTGAAGAAGCTCGAAACTCAAACTCCAAGCCGTCCATGCAACTCACTTGACTTAAATTTTGTAACACATCACATGTCATTTTACTTGGGGACAATGATTCTCACAAGCAAAGAGAAAAAAAAAAAAAAAAAAAAAATTATTGCGTAATGGTCAAGCTCAAAATACCTTCGATTTTAATGTTCTTATTAATAGATGCAGAGAGAATCGTTAATACTTTGCTTAATTAAAATTTACTTCTGCCTTTTTTATTTTTGGAGTTGCTTGAGATTATAAAAGTAGTGACAGAGTAGAGAATGGATCTCGTACGTTGCTCAGCTTTTGTGCTTTGAATTTGATCAATTCAAGTTCAAGCGCTTGCAGTTGCGTTTGAGTTTTGCAATACGAAACTCCACAACTAAAAGGTTTCCTGTTAATTGAAATCTGCTTTAGAATTTACGATTCTGACTAAATGATTTAATATACAATTTTAACGTTCAAAAGAAAATTGTAGAACACTAAAATAAAAAAAAAATAAAATAAAAATTGTAGAACACTTTTACTCAAGTTAGTGAGTATCCCAGCATTTTAATGATTTCTTCTAATGCAGTAATGCTCGAACAATTTCTCGAAATCACCATCTAAATTTGAATATATATAGTTGGAATTAATCATATCTACCTAAAATATGTTGTTTAAAACACATGGTTTGAAGATCTGCAAGACTGTAACCCAGACTCAGACATATCATGTACTAATGAAATTTACTTTAATTCTTATATTAGAAATTCTGAAATAGCATTAAATACAAAGTAGCAACCTAAAACTTACTATTCCTAGACTCGTCACTCACTCGGACAATTATTTGAACCATTTAACTAATATGCATTATATACACAGTAACACGGATACGAATCATTGTAAAGAATCTATAGTTTAAGTAGTAGTCGATACTAAGAAAATGGAGATGAAGAAGCTTTTTAAAGTTGTGTTCCTCTTGGTCGCTTACTTAACTTGTTCCCTTCCCATGGCTAGTTACCACGGTTATAACTGCAGAGAAGCCAATGAGAATGAGTGTAATCGGAGAAGACTCAAGAGATGAGTTTGGGAACTACAAGGAGAAGAAGAAGGTGAATTTGTGGTCAGGTCGTAAGTTAGCTTCCGGTCCAAGTCGTAGAGGTTGTGGCCACTGAATTTTTAGTTGGGGGTAACAAGATTATAATTTAAGATATTTAATTTTATTCTCTAATTTAGGTTTCTTGGTATCGTTTAGTAATATGAGTATTGTAGTGGGTTCTTATAACTTAATGAAAGGATTGGAGTTTTCATACGAAATTCGCTTCATTATAAAATATATAAGATTTTTTTAATTTTGTTCATTGCATTGTTTAAGAACAAAATGCTCTCTGTTTTCATTTGCTTTACCGAAAAGAAGATTTCTTTTTTTTTTTGGTCGGCACCGAAAAGAAGATTTCTGTTTTCACATCAAGGGCTCTTATGACGTAATGACAAAAATTTTAAAACCGTAAAAAAAAAAAATCAAAATCTTAAAACCTTTTAAAAACAAATTGTATAAACTTGTAGTATATTAAATGTACAAAACGATGCGAAACCAAGTTGGACTTGTAGAATCGGCTAACGATCAATGACTAGGTCAAATGACAGGATCCAAAATCCGGTTAGTTTTCACATTATTTTGCAAATCCATTATACAAGCTTTCTTTAAAAAAAAATCGTTAGAACTTTTTTAAAAACAAATAATTAAAATTGTAAAAACTTTAAAACCGTAAAAAAGAAAAAAAAATCAAAATCAAAAAACTTTTTAAAAACTTGTATATTAGATCTACAAAACGATGCGAAAACAAGTTGGACTTGTGGAATCGACTAACGATCAATGACTAGGTCAAATGACAAGATCTAAAATCCGGTTAGTTTTCACATTATTTTGCAAATCCATTATACAAGCTTTCTTTTTAAAAAAATCTTTAAAACCTTATTAGAAACAAATAGTTAAATTTTAAGAACTTTAAAAACCGTAAAAAAGAAAAAAATCAAAATTAAAAACCTTTTTAAAAATAAATTAAAAACTTGTATATTAGATCTACAAACGATGCGAAAACAAGTTGGACTTGTGGAATCGGCTAACGATCAATGACTAGGTCAAATGACAAGATCCAAAATCCGGTTAGTTTTCACATTATTTTGCAAATCTATTATCCAAGTTTTTTTTGAAAAAAAAATCTTTAAAACCTTTTTAAAAATAAATAATAAAAATTTTAAAAACTTTAAAACCATAAAAAAGAAAAAAAAAAAGAAAAATCAAAAACCTTTTTAAAAACTTGTATATTAGATCTACAAAACGATGCAAAAACAAGTTGGATTTGTGGAATCGGCTAACGATCAATGACTAGGTCAAATGACAGGATCCAAAATCCGGTTAGTTTTCAAATTATTTTGCAAATCTATTATCCAAGCTTTCTTTAAAAAGACTTTTTTAAAAACAAACAATTAAAATTTTAAAAACTTTAAAACCATAAAAAAGAAAAAAAATTGAAATTGAAATTTTTTTTAAAACAAATCAAAAACTTGTATATTAGATCTACAAAATGATGCAAAAAACAAGTTGGATTTGTGGAATCGGCTAACGATCAATGACTAGGTCAAATGACAGGATCCAAAATCCGGTTAGTTTTCACGTTATTTTGTAAATTTATTATCCAAGCTTTTTTAAAAAAAAATCGAAAAAAGGAAAAAAAAATCAAAACCTAACGCTTAAAAATTTTAAAGCTCTATTAATTTTCTAATTATAAAAAGAGAACATTAAATGGATAGAAATTGACCTGTGGGTAGTCCTTTGTTCATGGGCTTCCGAGTTCTTATGGGCTGGAAACACTTTATTATTGGGCTTTCTGATACCTTTTCACTGGGAAACGAAGAATCCTTCTCAGAGTCTTCTCTCTGCGTCGTTGATTCCTGTAAGCGAAGGATTCATCGTGGTGGAAGAAGAAGAGTCACCATCATCTTCCATCACCGATCTTGTTGGCGAAAAACAAACCAAGCGTCTAATAAGTTGGAGCCAGAGATGAGGGAAAATCCACGGAATTCGAACTTCGAAGAAATCAAAGATGAAATTGTAGAGAATAGAGGTAAAGAAAGCAGAAATAGAATAAGAGAATCGAAATTTTAGAGAAATCGCGCATCAACACTCTATAACTCGTGTTTCTTCCTCTCTGTTTTTTTTCTCCGTGGTTTGTGATTTTGAAACTAAAACAATTAGACAAAGAGAAGATGTGAGGCGCAAGAGACTATTTATAAACTCATTTTCTTATGTGTTTTGGGGTTTCAAAGTTTCCTTTTTTAAAAAATTCTTCTCTGTTATTTCCTTTTTTTATTCTTCTGTGTTATTTCCTTTTTTTTCTTCTCTGTGTTATTTCCTTTTTCAATTTAGTTTGAGAAAATCCAAAGCAAAACGTGAATGTTTTCCTTTTTTAACCCTTTGCTTAGAATCTGCATTTGTATGCTTATTAGAATCTCTTAATTATCTATCTATATTACAAAAAGCAATGAATGTTCTTGGTTAGCTTTAAAAAAAAAAATGTTCTTGGTTAGAATTTGATTTATCTGGCAATTACTGAACAGAACAAACAGCCTCAAATATGTATATTCTGGAATAAGAAAAAGAGTACACAGCCATATGAGTAAATAAAGTCCTATTTTAATAAATTTCGTATTGTAATAACGTCAAACAAATTAAACAATTACCAAAGATATGTATAATTAAGTAAATATTTCACAGAACATATAAATTTATAAAATATATCATATATGCAACGTAGAATTTTATTACTAGTCTCTAATCTCTATCGAGGCCCAGCGGGCTACATTCACCGTAGAGTAAAAAGTGTTTATTTGTAGAATTAGATAATAGGTTTTTAAGGTGATTTAGCGTAAAAGTGAAGAAACGGAAGGGGAAAGTGGAGAAAGGCAAGGCCTGGTTTTGAGGCTAATTGATCTGTATGTCAAAACCCCGATGATAGCTCCGATCACCGGAGCCGTCATGTAAATCCATAAGTCCTCAAAATCCCATGCCACCACCGCTGGTCCTAGTGATCGAGCTGGGTTCATCGATCCTCCTGAAATCGGTCTGACCCATACCATATTCCAGAAACGTTAGCATTATTCGATCCTATGAAATATCTATTTTCTATATATTTAGGGTGATCGATAATAGCGTTGATTGTTTCAAATAAAAACTTATGTTATCTATTTAGACAAAGTTTACAATAGTGGAATTTCAAGTAAAGTACCCGGTAATAAGCACTCCGAGGGAAATGACTGTTCCAATCACGAATCCCGTCAAATTACCCAACTGTACAAAATAACACAAGAATGTAAATTTCATAAGAAATGTGTTACCCAACTATTTATATATGGTGTTACTTTTTTTGAAGATAACTTTTTTATAATAAGAGTTAAGAAGATCGATCTGGTCACTTACATTTTGATGAGGACCACAATGCAACGCGGAGGCGAGAAACACGACGATGCTCGTAGCTATGAGTTCAACGAAAAATGCAGAAACGCAGCTTAACGCAGGTTTTGTTGCCATAATGTCAGCGTTTACTCCGTAGACTGACACCCCAACTAATGTTGCCGCCGTTGCCCCCAACGTTTGCGCTGTTATATATAACGGAACCTGAAAACAACATTCAAGAGCAAGCATAACATGAGTTTTGTCTATGAAAGCTTATATAACCGTAGTTAAGGCGATAGTATTCGAATGCTTCTTGCGTTTGCATGTAAAAAGTTTCATTAAACAATTTTGTAATTCCAAATTTTAACGTTTATATTTGCAAATGATTTTTTTTTTTTAAAAATAAGATAATTTGTAAACGTCCAAAAACAAAAAAAAAAGAAAAATTTTCTCCTCTCATTTGCATCTTCGTTGATAAATGAAAACCACATTGTTATATACCATCTAAACGCAAAGGCAAATAATTCAGCTACAAATCTTAGTTGGTTGGGTGGAGATGGAGGCATTGTACCTGAGACCACGGGAATCCGCCAAAGACAGCGAAAGCGATGGTGATCGAAGGGTTAAGATGGGCGCCGGAGATGTGTCCGATGGAGTAAACTACAACCACCACCGATAATCCAGCGGTTGCGGCGTATTCTAGCAATCCGACATGGCCACCGGATAATTGAGTACTGCTTATGACCCCGCACACACTGAACATTAGAATGAATGTCCCCACAAATTCCGCCATTACCTACACATTAGTCCGGAGATATTAGCATTTCTATACTAAGATTTTAATATTTTCTAAGAAAATTATAAGTTGTAATAATTGACATAGCCAGTCTTTACTCAATGATTGTGAAATGTGAGACCTTTTGGTTCAATAGGTGTGATCTAATAATATTTTGGTACATATATGTGATTTAACATAAAAACATTCTCCGAAAATTTTTGTAAATCATTTTGTGTGTGGATAATATATATATACGAAGCTTACAATGCGTATGGGATTGAGATCTATATCATAAGGGAGACATCCGAAAAGCCTTTGTCTCGAAGGATGATCTTCATCTCTCAAAGTAGACGGAGTTGAGCCAGCTTCTTGGTCAACTACTCTTGACCGTGCCTCACCATTCATCTTCTTAATATCCCTCAAGATATAGTGATCAAGAAGCTAGGACAGTCACAATCAAGGAGGCTTGATCGGCTTTATGAATGACCTAATGGAGCAAAATTAAAAAGAGAGATAGAGAGAAAAACGCAAAGAAGATGGAAAGAGGATTCACAAAAAAAGAGAAGAAGAAGAGTGCTAGTTTCCTTTGGTAAATCAGTTTGAAAGGAGAAGAGGGTGCTCAACACTTTTCTTGTGTTCAATTTTCACTTCCTTCCTACCAATATTTCTCAATTTAATTTGGTGATTTCTAAGTCATCTATTTTTAAAAAAATTAAGTTCATTTCATGTGTAAAGATTGTCAGATTGACTCTCTTAAACCTTTTCACCCTAAAAAAACATAATTTCTAATGTTAATAAAACGAACCAAACTAAAGTTAAAATTTTACTTCAACATTAACAAGAAAAGTTAGTTTAAAAAAAAAAAAGATAAAATTGATGCACCAGCCGGGAATCGAACCCGGGTCTGTACCGTGGCAGGGTACTATTCTACCACTAGACCACTGGTGCTTTTTGATATATATCATAGTTTCTTAGTTATATATTAAGATTACGAATCTAGGGTTAATTATATCTTCCGACTTCCGCATTCAGAGTATTCGTCTTGAACAAGTGGAATTTTGAAAAAAAGCAGAGAGATGGAGAAAGTGGTTGATATCTTCGGAGTCGGAGAAGCTAATTCCCAGAAGCTACTCAAAGGAGGCAAAGATCTCAGCGAGATCCAACAGGTTTTTGTTTTTGTTTCTCTATCTAATTTCACACTTGGAATTTCGATTCTAAGATTCCGAAAATCGATTTGTTTGTCAGGGATTGTTCATAGGATCAGTAGCTGAAGCGACTAACAAGGATTTGCTCAAAAGCTCCAACATCACTCATATCTTAACCGTAGCTGTGGCCCTGGCTCCTCCTTATCCTGATGATTTTGTTTATAAAGTCATCGAAGGTTTTCTTCAGTCTTAGACTGTTTTCGAGTAGAGAGATTCTCTAACGAGTAGATTTTTCTTCGTATGTAGTTGTTGATAGAGACGAGACCGATTTGACAGTATATTTCGATGAGTGTTTTAGCTTCATCGACCAAGCTATTCAATCTGGTGGTGGTGTTTTGGTTCATTGCTTCATGGGAATGTCTAGGAGGTTTTCATTCTTAATCTCTCATACATTCACTTATTATTATATTTAGTGTTTAGGAGTCATCAATCTCATATCATTTGCTAAGTAACCATAGGAATCTACAGACTCAGATTTGGTTACATATTACATATTGTGTGGACAAATTAAGAGTTTTTCTTGAACCTGTAGTTTGGTTGTTGTGTCGTTTTGTTATATATATATATATATATATATATATATATACTTATACAATTTGATTGGTTTCAAGTGTGACTATAGTGGTGGCTTTTCTGATGAAAAAGCATGGATTGGGATTCTCTAAAGCTATGGAACTCGTAAGGAGCCGAAGACATCAGGCATTTCCTAATTCCGGTTTCATTTCCCAGCTCCAGCAATTTGAAAAATCCTTACAAGGTATGCATGATTGTTTCTTTCCCTATTGTGTGTATACAGAGAGTCTTTATCTTTCCTTTTGCCTGTAAACCTTTTGAAACTTTGCTGACTGATTCCTAGACTCTTCTTTGTCTGTTATCCCTCAATGTGACACGCTATTTCTGAAGTTGCGAAACGAACAAAAAAGATAGGATTTTAGATCAGTTCAAAACATGTCATGTTGGTAAACATAGCTTCATCATATCATATGATATTTGTCATGTCAATTTTTCATTCATGAACGCTGATCTAGAGGCTGAATTGTCTGTATCTGTTTGCAAGGAGACTTAGATTTTCCTTATAATTCAACTCTTATTAATACAAAATATATACATTTTCTGTTACATGGTGAGGATTCAGTTTCAGCTGATAAGAAGATTCAAGATAGTGTCATGATGAACTCTCAAGAAATTCCGAACAAGTCTCATGAGCCCCATGATGACCAAAAAACTTCTTGATTTCGTGCTGTGAAGGATTTTTTCTTGTGAACTATTGATGGTGAGCACTTTGCCATGTCCATTAGCCAATTGAAATAAATGAAAACGCAGAATTTACATTTCCTCTGTTACTACAATGAATATTTTCTAGAAGATCAATGAATTTAACCAAACCAATTCCAAACCCAAACCCAAACACTGTTTAAGTCTTATGAACGAAATTGAAAAAAAAAAAAAAAGAAAAAAAAAAACAGAATTTCAAAAGGTAAGTGTAGTACCTTAGGTTGGTTTGTTTTAATTTGTCAAAAGAATTCATTCATTATACAATCAATTCTCTATGAGCAAACCGATATATTTGATCAAGAGTGAGTTTTCTTTTTTTTGTTGCCTTGTCGATCAGTATTGTATATAACGTGATAGACCATGAACAAATTGAATATCGATGTTGGAGTTAGATTTCTTTACTCCTAAAACTGATGGTTAATTAAATGTGGCATGCACCTTGCATGTGTTATACGTATTGTAGCCTAACATTAGCGGCAACAAACATTTGTCACCAACATTTTCATTCCAGCTGCTTCACAGTTTTGGGACTTGGGAGATAATGTTAATTATAACAAATTTTTTGTAGGTTAAAAACTTATTAATGAAGTTTGTAATATGACTTGAGATACTGTTAATTTTACAAAACAGAGCCAAAAATTTACGAATACGTACCTCTTTTATCAAAAATATATACAAATTAAGAATACTACTTGGGAGGAATCTTAAATGAGCCGTCTAGGTAGCTGAGACTTGTGAAGAAGCTTGAACAACTGAACTTTATGGTTGCTTGCTCCAAAGGTTACATCAATACATATATGTAATCTTGTACAACCTATATTTCGTGCGAAAAGTTATCCATAAACCAACAGGAATTATGGAATCATGAAGAATAAGAAATTTGTGGTATAAATTACATGATATAGTGATTAAGCAAAAAAAAAAGTTGTAAATCAACTAAAAACTATGTGTTAATGTTTTTGTTACTTGTCATTTATCTTTGAAAATCGTAGGATAGATTATAGATAGATTTGAAACATAATTCCATGAAAACGATATTACCTAGAAACCTGCGAAATCACATAATCATTTCATCACTTCGAAATTTCGTAGATTCCAATCATATAATATACCTAATATGTTTGTTTAGAGTAAGTTGGCAAAAAAACATAAGTTAAGCTAAAAATTTTGGCTTTTGAGATCACACACGTTATTGCATCTAGATTCTCTTAACTTGTCAGAATTTAACCGTTTTACGTATTTTCATTCACCCACGAAAGACATCTCAACACAAACTCAAACTTTCCACCAGTGATCTTAATTAAAAAGAATGTATTGTTCGATTCCATGTTTTTTTTACTTTGTGTATCAGTGTATATATATAATCTGTTATAAAGAGAACAAAAAAATTCCATTTTTTCTTGTGAGGACACGCGGTAATTAAGAACAAAGAAGTGGCACTAGGGTAGAAATTAAACTAGAAGTAAAAGAAGGTGGTGCAAAGGCATGCACTCTAAATAAATAAAAAATTCATAAAAGACCTCACGCAGTGAATGTAAATGTAAATGTATCCAACTTCACAAACGTGACGTATCTTTGTGTATGCATACCTTTCTCTACGTTGTTCTAATACATATAGATAGTAATAAGAGAGAGAAAGAGTAAAATCAAGAAGAGACAAAAGAATGTCACGAGACAGCGACATAGTGCATTTATGAACCCTTGAAAAAAACTCTAAACCCTAATTATCCCTTGTTGTTGCGGCTGTATAAATATATACGACATAGTTTTGAAGAATGTGTCGAACAAAGTGAAAAAGACATCATCTTCTTCGTTGATAGATCAATAGGTACCCCAGAAGAGAATCTTGATCAATTAAGTATCATCATGTCTCACATCGCTGTTGAAAGGAATCGAAGAAGGCAGATGAACGAGCATCTTAAATCCCTTCGTTCTTTGACTCCTTGTTTCTACATCAAAAGGGTATTTCATATTTATCTATTCGATCCCTTCATGGTCAATAATTATATCTACTTCGGATCATTTCACAATCCTAATTAATTTAATGATCGGTGTATAATTAACAAGAGATTGGTGTGTTTTTTGTAATGATCGGTGCTTTCCTTGTTCAAGTAATTTCGCAGGGGTTGATTCGAGATTTATTATAATTTATTTTTACAGACAATTGAACCTTCTCAAATTGCAGGAACCAAAAATCTTAGATACTTATTGGATCATGCATGATCATCTTTCTAATATTGGATATTCTAACTTACTATTTTTGGAAGAAGAGAAAATGTTTTGCCATACATATTTAATCCTATATTCTCACTGTCGGTCTTCCTTGAATGGAAATGTTATCAATAGACAATATATATTTCTCTTTGTTAACTTCTTTAAGCAAATTATTCGCATGCACTAATCTGTTCAATAAACATGGTCTTGTTTTTGATGATTGATCGGTATTAGGGAGATCAAGCTTCGATCATCGGAGGAGTGATCGAGTTCATCAAAGAGTTGCAGCAATTGGTGCAAGTTCTTGAGTCTAAGAAACGTCGAAAGACACTAAACCGACCTTCTTTCCCTCATGATCACCAAACAATCGAGCCATCCAGTTTAGGCGGCGCAGCCACCACCCGAGTACCGTTTAGTCGAATCGAAAATGTGATGACTACAAGTACTTTCAAGGAAGTAGGAGCATGCTGTAATTCCCCTCATGCTAACGTAGAAGCCAAGATCTCTGGTTCTAACGTTGTATTGAGAGTTGTCTCTAGGCGAATCGTGGGCCAGCTCGTTAAGATCATCTCTGTCTTAGAGAAGCTATCTTTTCAAGTTCTTCACCTCAATATTAGTAGCATGGAGGAGACTGTCTTATACTTTTTCGTTGTTAAGGTACATATATTCATCAACCGATAAAACTCATTATATCATGACATTAGATTGAATTTGGTGTTATAGAACTATAATAAATAAAAGTAAAAGGCACCTAAACGACTGATCAAACGCCAATTATATATTGCTAAAGCGATGTCTTGCGCTAGATTTAGTTACGTTACTTAACCAAATTAAGATTATTAACTTTATTTGTACAGTGTTTCTTTACACCAAAATAGTGATCAGTATCAGTTATAAACTCAAATGTATATATATGGATCAGATAATTATAATATGTATATGAGTCTTACGTTTTGAATTCTTCGAAATTAAATTTACATGTGCAGATAGGATTGGAGTGTCACTTAAGCTTGGAGGAGCTAACTCTTGAAGTTCAGAAAAGCTTTGTGTCAGAAATGATCGTCTCTACCAATTAAAACCAAAATTCTACATGTACTACAGCGTGTATCGTTTTTTGGGTTACATGAGCATATTTAGACTTGATACCTTGCTAGAAATAAACTCCTCAGTTTTTTTTTTTTAAATCACTTATGTTTTACTTACTATGTTGTTGTATCCGAACTTGATCAAAGTTGTAATTTCCCGGCCCATAATAAATCATAACATTTTATGCTCTAATTAACTAGTAGTTCTGAATCATCCCAATGTAAGTGTGTGTAGTCATACCTAAATTGTAACACTAGATTATTTGGAGCCTAATAATGATTAAATTGTGTTAGGAGTCGTGTGTATCAACGCTACATATGTAGACTGTAGTAGAGCTTTAAGCTTGTATTATATATCGATCAAGAAATTTACACGATATATAATTATATACATATATATATATATATACACATATATAAAGTTTCATATCTAAGTGAATCTAAGATCATATCAAATTTTAGATTACATATTTACTGTTGTTAATTATACACAATCCGAGCTAGCAGATTGAATTATTCAATTACGTACTTTTGCTTTGGAACAAAAAAGCAGTACTCTCTTAGTTCAGACATTTCATGAGCGATATGTAACCTTTGGGGGTTTCGGTCTCTATATAGTATATATAGCTTTAGCAGATCCAACTTAAAGAACTCAAAATTTACAATAAGAATCTGGAATTTCTCACTTTAAAACCAGAGATTGTAAACTATGGACCTTACAATGTTGTAGACATATTACGAGACTAGACTTTTTTTTTCTTTTTTTTCTCTATGGTCTCTATATATAGCTTTAGCAGATCCAACTTAAAGAACTCAAAATTTACAATAAGAATCTGGAATTTCTCACTTTAAAACCAGAGATTGTAAACTATGGACCTTACAATGTTGTAGACATATTACGAGACTAGACTTTGTTATGGATTCTGTAGGATGTTAAGTAACTATGCATATAAGATATAACCGAGGATTCTACGCTATCAAAACTAATTTCCGCAATTATAATTATTTTTAATCTTTAACATATTTTAAGATTGCAAGGCTTATATATACATTAATAAATAAATAAAATGTCTCCATAAACCTTGACGTTTTTTCTTACCTACATTCTGGACGTAGACTTTTTGGAGATAATTTTGTAATTTTTTTCTTTTGTAAAACTATTTATGATAATACATGTAGAAAAAAAGAAGATATATATTAATACAAAGGGGAAATTTGGTGAATTGAGGCCTCACCTGTTTCTTGGTTAAAGGTTACCCAATATTTTGTCACGTGGTGCGACCAGAACCACGCATGTTTTCATATGTTTTTTTTTTTTGAGCAACTTGACATTTTTTATATTAAATTTGTGTTTTTTCAAGGATATCTTACATACATTAAAAAAAAACTTATTACCACATTTACTTGTTTACAATTCATTTCTCAAACAAGTTTAAACCAAACTTCTTTATTTAGTTAATATTAAGAATAAAAATGCTAAATTTTATAACAGTTTTTTGTAAACTAAAGTTAAAAAGTACAAAATGATTTATACTATGAAGCGAAAAGAATATTACAGTATTACTTAACGAAAAATGATTTTTTCTATTTTTGAAAATTTTTAATTATTGTTTTGCGTCTGATAATTGATTTATATTCATGAATTTTTTAAAATAGACATTACATTATATATATATGTAAAAAGCGTATGCGTAAATGATCAGTATCACGAAATGTGTGGCACACACTCTGAGTTGTCAAATTCAAATTATTATTATACATCAATCAATCCATTATCCATATTGACCCACCAAAAAAATCTCACTGCCTTTCATTATTAATCTCACTTTCTTTCCAAATCCTTTTTTCTATTTAAGTTTAATCCCATTTTTAAGTCTATGCTCGTGACCACATTCGTGTCCTTTTGATTTGATTCTTCCTCTCTCGATCTTTGTTTAATCCGCACATCATACGAGACAAATATTTTAATTTTTCCTTAAAACAACAATTAATACGAGGCTGAGAGCATGTAAGATTTAAGTTAGTGACTAGTTTTTTTTTATAAAAAAATGATTATTGATACCATTTCGTATGTATACTCGGTAGACTTTTATTTTTCTTAAAGTCTGATGTACCATGTTAATTTCAGATTCACAGTGAGTACAACTTGGATATGTCTTGAGGTTTTGTATCATTGGTTCCACATTTTTTTGCACTACTTGTCATAGGCACCATAATCTAATCAAAGTGTGGAGAGGTATATGGTCACTGGGCCATGTTGAGAAAAAAAAAAACATCGAATCAATCAAAGTGTGGATACTCTTAAAAACCGAGATCATCCAACCACTAGACTGCTAAAATAGTAGCACCCACTCCATTTAAATCTTCCTGATGTATTTATGAAATTTTGGTATATACTAAAGATATAAATACGTAGAACGAGAACTCATGGATTGGTTACACTTACACATTTTGTTCTTGGATTTTAGTGTCAGCGTCCAATTCCAATTTGCACAATAATCAAAACAAGTAGTATATATACCCTTGAACTTGAAAAGATACATTAATTGTAAAGATTTAAGTGATTAATATTTTTACTTAATTAGTTTTCTCTAGGAATAATTAACTAAACAGGATTAAGTAGCTAGAGGAAATCAATTAAACATGCAAGAACGCGTGTGGTTCAATTATTGATTTGTTATCAGGGTGTTTAGTAGACCATCAGTTCCTTTGTTGATAGTTAAAGTGGTCTTTGCTTGCTTATGATGTTACCCGTCACATGAACCATATTTTTTTCTTTCTGAGCATATCCGTCACATGAACCAATTATTGTTTACTTTTCATCGATTTTAATCTTTGATTAATAACGAGTTTTCAAGAAAAAGAATAAACATTTTAGGATTAATTGATTGAAGCCAAATAATTCTAATGTTCATCAAATTTAGAAACCATCCAAAATTATTATCAAAACAAGGATTTATCAGTGTGGGGATAATTAAGGAATATTAGCAAACAAAGTGAATGTCAAGCCAAATAAGTTAAGAGGTGCTTGGTAAATTATTCCTTAAAAATTAATAAGCGATAAATAGTCTCAAACGCATCTTTTTTTCGCAACTTTCTCAACGCGAGGGAATATGTACAACAACAAAACGGAATATATACAGCCACCATAAGTAGCATACATACCAAATGCAGTGACTGTACTAATTGCACCACTATAAGAAACATATATATATATATATATATATGTATAGCATCAATTGCACTTGCTATTGTAATAAAGTGTATGCTTGCTTTATTATTAAAACGAATCAAAAGAGTTGCACTGTTTGTAATAATTGCATTCTTGTACATACCATATTGACTGCAGTGCTAAATCATTGGGAGCCTTTAGAGTTTATTTGCAATATATTATGTATATAAAGATGTTGTGGTATATACGTTTGGTTGAGATTCAGAGTTTACATGAGGATGATAACAACTCACTCACACTCTTGAGTTTGCAACACATTATTGGACAATTGAAAATGGAAGTGTCACCAGAAATGTAGGATTTGATACTATGGAAAACTATGGGTCCTAAAAAGAGGAAAATGTGAAAAGATGGGTTATTTTGTCAAATATCTGGAAAGGGCTTTGATTGGGAACAAGGTATACCCAAGGATAGACTTAGAGCTATAACCAAACAAGAGATGAACAAATGTCGGATCTCGAGCTCTTCGCACACTTTGTCGCATTTCACTTATATACTTGTCTTCACTTTTCATCTCTTCTTTCAATTCTTTGTTTTCTAAGCTCAAATAATTTATTTGCAGGGATCTAATAAATGCAAAATACAGAAATACTGTATATAGGAAACCATGAACACTATTACTACTACGCAACAAAAAAAGGAACCCATTTAAAGAAATTTCAATTGTTGGGCGACAACCTTGTAACTTGAAAGAAAAGAAAAATCATTGTTTTCTAAGTTCAGAACTCACATTTAATCATATAATTCATTTCCCATTTCAATGTATTTATATATATTTTCCTAACTTAATAATACACAATTTCATTATAATAAAAATATATTGCGTCAGAGTCAGACCAATGGTTTATCATCGTGTATGTATTTTCATATATATACTTTTTGGCAGCAAGAAAATATATGTATTTATAAATTAAAAAAAAAAAAGGAAATTGTTACGTAATAAGCAGAATCTAGGCGAATCTAAAATCTGCATTAGTAAGTTTGTAAGCGCAGAAAAAAAGCATAGAAGATGAGACATATGCAGTTCTGAACAACAATTCTGCTGACGCTTCACTTTAGCTCTGCCTCATAGCCTTCTTTAATTCCTTCAACTGTTCACTTGGCCCCATCATCATCAATTCATCATCATGAATGACCATGCATGATGATATCTTTTTTTATAAGTCTTGGAAAGAAGTTTGATGAATGGTTAACTAGACTAAAAAGATCATCAATTGACATCAAATGGGCATTTGTAATAGTAATTACGCATGGATTTACTATTTTGTGGATTATTAAAGTCATGATAACAATTGATTTGGTTGCAATAGTGATTTGATAACCAATACAATAGAGACTAGCAACGAATACATCGGACGTGAATTGGTGATAGAGATTGATGACCAATTTTTACGTACTAGGAAGACTATATGATCATGACCCAAATTCTTGTTATTGTTTTACAAATTAGTTATAAGACCATCTCCAATGTATTTCTCTATTTTTGTCTCTATCTCTATAATAGAGGTAAGTTTTCTCTATTTTTACTTCAATGTATTCCTCTATTTTTTCCTCTAAAAAGTTTAACTCTATTTATAAAAGAAAAAATAGAGATTATCTATTCTCACCTCTATATATAGAGAGAAAAAAATAGAGATCTCTATTTTAGAGGTGAGAATAGAGATGTGTTGGAGTAAATTTGCCTCTAAAATAGAGTTTAGAGGCAAATATAGAGGTGGGTTGGAGATGCTCTAAGTCGTTATATTCAATACTCTCTCCGTTTTAAAATATAAGGCGTTTTAGCTAAAAGCACGCCGATTAAGAAGTTCTACTTTTTAAAAGTTCAGCCAATCATAAAAGAGACTGCATAATAAAAATAATCATAAAATATCAAAATAATATATAATTTGCATAAAAACTTGAAAACAACTTATATTTTAAAAGAAAAAAGTTTCTCCAAAACGTTCTATATTTTGAAACGGAGGGAGTACTTGTTATTTTTCTTACTTTTAGACTTTTATGTTTTGTTAACTTTTGAATTTAAATGCAACCAATCATGCTGACTTTTGCTTATACTAATATTTTTCCTTGACTCGACGACAAAAAAAATGGTTCCTGTATAATTCTGAGCTAACAACAAGAAATAAAAGCAAGATCCAAATATAGTGGAGAAATCTATCTTAATATAATGGTCCGTAGGACACAACTTTACTTCCATTAAGATTCCGTATCCTCTAAGAAAATGTGCTAATAAGATCATACCAAAAGTGTCAAATATTCATAATCAATTTGATTAGGTATCTACCGGATTTGTTCTAGCAACTCCGTATATACAGAATTAATTAATAGGACAACCAGCAAATAATAATTAGTCACATGTACTGAGAAACAAGAATAATACTACACTCTTTTCAGATTTTATATTATTCTATTAAATTACCGATGCTATCACAAAGTGAGGAAAAAACCCTAAAACAACTTGGCATTTTGATCCATCGAAGAAAAAAAAAAACCCAACTTAGGATTCAAATACACACAAACTATTGAAGTTTTATTTAAGATTTTTTAACTATCTCACATAATATCACAGCTTGATGTGTTCTCGTCGCTAAAGGCATGAGAGTATTGATCATTCCCGTAAGGTGGAGGATATGGATACGGGTACGGATGAGGATTCGGATATTGGTGCGGATGTGGCGGCATATAGTTAACTGCCGGTGGTGGCCGTGCGTACATCATTGGTTGGAACCGCTCGTTCCCCATAGCTCGTTGCTGGTTCATAACCGCTGCTAAATATTGCTGTTGCTGCATTTGCATCGGATCTGGCCCGGCCCCTTGGAAATAACCCGGTGGTGCACCGCCTGGACCGGTCGCTGGTAACCCCTGTACCGCCGGCATATTCCCCATTTGACCACCCATACCCATAGGCATGCTCATGTTCGGTGGTCCTCCGCCTCCCATGGGTCGGAAACCACCCGGAAGTCCTCCAGCCATGGGCCCACCTCCGCCGTTACCCTTCTTTCCGGCGTTTGGACCACCGCCGTTTTTACCATCTGGTGGATGTCCACCACCAGTGTTCTTGCCTCCACCTTGGTTTTGATTCCCACCACCACCAGGACCACCTTTGCCACCGCCGCCACCACCAGCGGGAGCGCCTTTACCGCCGTTTTTAGCAGGGCCACCGCCAAGATTGGCGTTCTTTTGAGCGTTCATCATCATCTGTTGAGCATTAGGCATCATCGTCATGTTGGGCTTCATCTTATTAGACGGAAGAGGGAGATCATCAAACTCATCATCAAACTCGTCGTCATCATCATCAGTAAACTCATCATCGAATTCGTCACTAAAATCATCATCATCATCATCCTCAGGAACATCAAACTTCACTCCTTTCTGGTTTTGGTTCTTGTTGACAGGAACAGAGCCTTTTAACTGAGGAGGAAGCTTCAGATCTTGAAACCCTTTCATCTTCTGAAGCTGCTGCATATGTTGGGGATTCAGTTGCTGACCCATCTTTGGCGCATTACTGTTACCTCCACCGCCGCCTCCTCCGCTTTTCTGGCCTTTCTTGTTGTTGTTATTGTTTCCGCCGCCGCCACCGCCAGCGCCTTTTCCATTGTCAATCTGCATTCCTTTAAACTGATTGGCCATTTGGGACTGATTTGGATTGTTGTTACCCTTTGGAGCTCCCCAGATTTCAGCATGTTTACCAGATTTGGCGAGCTTCTTGATGAGAACTGAAGGATCTACGCTCCCAGAGACAGTCACTTTCCCTTGTTCTGAGTCAATCTTGGTCGTGAAAACACCTGAGTTTTGGTTTGGTTTCAGACAAAACACAAAATGAGTTTTAGTCAACCAACTGAAAATCTTTGATTCGGGACTTAAAAAAAGTCAAAACAGATTTTTTTTTTGTTCCCTCTACCTTCGATTTTCTGCAAGATTTTCTTGACTTTCTGCTTACAGCCATCACAGTGTATGTTCACTTTAAGAACACAAGTCTACAAATTAAAAAAATTCTCAGATTAAGAAGTCAACACAAGACATACACTGAGAAAAAATATCAGAGTAAAGGTGAAGAAACCTGGATCTTCATGAACTCTTCTTTACTCATTTTTCCTCAACTCAAAGTCTCTTTCTCTCGCTTTAGAACCAGATCTGAGACAGCTCCTCAGGTACTTCCAACTTCAATCTGGACAACATCATAATAGAGAAATTTTTATCATTCAAAGACACAAACAAGAGAACACATCACTGCATATACATATATGTAACTGAGGAAGATACCTTTTTTAGTTGAAAAGAACAAAGCCACAGAGGGAAGAAGGAGAATGCGAGACGAAGCACTTGAAAGAAGGCAAAGAAGAAGGAAGAAAGATTCAGAGTTTGCAGTATTAAGTTGGTGAACATTAACTTCTCCACTTCATCTTTTTCAGAGTCAGAGAGAAAGAGAGAGAGAGAAGTAAAGTCGCTGCTTCAATTTATTAGAAGAAAGGAGTGAGTAATAGTAGTATCTTATTTTTTGCCTAGACTTTAGACTTTAGACAACATTTTTTGTAATAAAATTAAACCAAAAAATAGCATTATAAAAATAGGAAAAAAAAGAGAGTGGGGCTAATTTTTATGAATCTTTTTAATGATGAAGGCCTCTCGAATATTTCATAATTTATATAGTGAACATAATCACGTTTTCGGCCAGATCTCTATAAGTTTTTTTTTTTTTCTGTCAAATCTCTCTATAAGTTTCTTCCCCTATATTATTATTTATTTTCCAATTGCATTTTTATGCAATCTTTTCACGATTTTCGTTATTCATCTACGCATTTACTATTATTGCTTCTTGCTGTTAAAGCCTTAAACAAACATGAAACACAAGTCTAAAAGTAAGCCATAATCAAATTTATTTTCTTATAAATATAATAATGGGTTTCTTTGGAAGAAAAGAATGTAATGGTTTTCTTGGTGAAGGACACTTTATTTTAATCAAGCGTGGCTAATTTTATAATTAAGCACATTCTTCACTAGATCTAAGTTATTAAAAGAAATTGATGATTATGATTTCTAACACAGATTTGACATGACGATTGTCAAATTATTGAATCTTAAGAAGCATAATTTACACATTTGAGAAAGTTCCCAAAAAAACATTTGTATAATTGAAAAAGCAATTGATGGGTTAAAAAAAAAAATGTGGCATGGTGAGATGAATAATTGACTTTTGTCGTTGAGGTTTTGCCTAATTCGATAGGTGTTGGTCACATGAGTGTCTCTGCACATGACATGGCTCTCCTTCTTCTTCATCTTCTTTCTTCTTCCTCTTCACAAAATGACATTAATTCCTCAAAGCTTTTGTCGTGTTACCATCTTTTCCCTTTGGATTCGTTTTCATTTTCATATTTTCGGAAAGTGCATTATTGTACGTTTTGGCCTTTAAAAGGTAATTATTCTCTTCGACGTCACCGTTGATATCATTTCATTTTTAGTCAATTAAATGATCTTTTACTAAATTGAAATTTCAGCTAACTAAGCTAAATAGACATAATTGATTGGTTTGTTAAGTTTTGTCCTTGAGCAAGCACCAGATTTTTTTTTTCTTTTTTTTTTACGAAATCCACCATAAAAACTGTTCTTTCACAATACCACCATTTTAAATTTCTAATTATATTCTTTTACTGCGTAATCATTTTAATATGTTTTCTTCTTTTACTGCATAATATAAGTAAGAAAATGTTTTGATTATTCATTTCAAAACCAATTGACTGTCAGTAATTATCTAGTTCAGTTTAAACTTGCGACCAACAATAACAGATCAAATTAAGACTTTTCTTAACTCAAAAGTTTGAGTGTTTGACCATTCTGTCAAAAGAAAAGTTGGGTTTTTTAAAAAATTTAAAAGGACCTCAGTGGGAAACATTTTTTTTCCTCTGGCAGCTTTTTCTCCAATTGATGTTTTAAACTTATATAGCTTAATAGGCAAAAGGCAGAACAATGATTCTTCCTCTTCTTCTTCATCTTCAACTTCACCTCTTTTTTTCTCTTGTCTTTTATATCTCTGCAAATACCAAATTATCTAATAATTTCTGACTTTCTGTTGAAAGCTAAATGGTAAAATAATATGGCTACAGAAACTCTGCAAATGTTAATTTCTAGATCTTGTGAATAAATTGTTTGGATACTATGAGACTTGGACCACAACATAGGATCCTTGTGCTTAAGCAAACCAACAAAAGCATTCAATTACACACATTAAGTAGATTGGTGAGTGTTAGGAAGCTTACATCTATACATGTACTGATGATGCTTATATCTTCCAAATACAAACCTTTAGATCAAACAAATCTCTATGCAGAAGGAATGAAGTTACACAACAATGATCGGAAATACAGATTCAGATATGGATGGTTCCAGAGAAAGATGAAGAAAGAATCAAGAATGGTGTTTTATGTAAAGAAAGAACCTTTTTTGTACTAGTGTTGTTCATCACTACTGTTCACTTTGATCTCTAAGAGCTCTTCGATGGGTTGTCGACAAATCGGACATTTGTTCGACTGAAGCCTCAATTCTTTAGCACAGTCGCTACACATGCACTGCAAAGAAGGACATACGACATTATAAGACGTTAGATTAAAGCAACTAAAATTTATGACATAATTTGGCTTTTACTGTCTGAATAATTTCCTATGGTTTTGATCGAATCCAATGCATTAATGTTGGTACTAACATTTAACAGGCAAAGATCTCAATGAGGTTTGGAAAATGAAATGATAATAGTGAAACCATAAGCAAAAGATTTAGAAAGTTTTACCAAATGTCTGCAAGGCAGTACAGCCGTGTCCTTAGCCTCAGTCATGCAGATCACACATTCTTTACCCGAACCACTGTCCTCTAATCCCGAGGCTGCACCTTGAGTGGTCGAGCCATACAACTCACGGAGTTCATATCGAACTCCTTCAATCCAAAGAATCTGCTTCACCACTTTCACTTTGAAAGATCCATCATTATCTTTCTCGAGAACCGCTTGTGTGACTTGCTTATGAACTGATGATTGCTCTGAGATCGAATTAGGAGAGATTACCGTCTCAGCTGATATTACAAGCGGATACACATCTTCTTGTAAAGGTCTTGACAGATCGTCAAGAGCGAAGAAGCTCAGGTCTGTTCCTGTCCCTGAAGGCTGCAGAAACTTCTGTCCAGGACCTTTCTGAAAATGAAATCTTGTCGGTGAATAAACCTCTGGAAACTGCGGGATAATGGTGCAATTTGGTTCCTCCTTTGCAAAGAAGGTGATAGTGAAACTGAAAACGAAAGGAGAACACAATGAGAGTCTAATCTTAACATTGATGAATACAAAATACAAATCATATAAGTGAGGTTAATCAAATTCTGAAGAAAGATGGGATCAGTTTACAAGGATCTCTCAACGTTTCTGATTCTAAAGTTGAGTTTAAGGCTTACACAACACATTCTAGATCAATCCTTGGGATCAATATAAACATACCCATCAAGCAAATCATGTAAAGCTTGAACCTTTTCTATCGGAAAGAGTGATTCCAGATGGTTCTCATGGGTAAAGATCTTTCCTTTAATAGTTCCCTAAGCCTTAATTTACCAATTTCGTCCCAATTATAGTTCTAAGCGTCATCAATCTCAAAACCCTAGAAATTCAATCACATCTCACGCAACCTTCATAGATCAAAGCCCTAATCAGATCGCTGAATGTTACCTGCCATCGAAAAGGGCATCGAAGACGAAGGAAACTAGATGGTGACCAGGGACGAGATCGTCCACTCCAAGCCTCACTGTATCTCTATGCACATTGACATCGTTCCTCACCTTCTTCGCGTTCTGTTGCTCCACGAATGGCGGTGGAAGCGGTTGCGTTTGCGCTTGCGGCTGAGGGGGACCGTAATACGCCGGCCTCACCATTGGACCCCACCAATTGGGCTGAGCGGTGGTGAAATACTGAGGAGGCTGATGGTGATAATGGTAATGGCCGTAGGAACAAGAGTTGATCTGTGGTTGTGGCGGTAGAGGTTGAGAGAGATGGTAATTGGAGTAGTTATAGTCATAATGTGGTGGAAATGGCGGCGGCGGAGGAGGAGGAGGGTCGAGGTAATAGTAAGGCGGTGGAGGATAGTGGTGGAGGTGACGGCGATTGTTATTGTTGTCTCGTCTTCTGTTGTTGTTGCTAAAGGAGATTCCCATTGGTGAGAGAATGACAATGGGAAAGAAAGAGATAAGACAGAAAGCAGAACAGGAAGAAGCAGAGAGACTGAAGAAAACAAGATTTGTTTAGAAGAAGGACTAGAAGATGTCTTGTTCAAGATTCGTTAATTGCTTTTTTGACTCTCTCTTATTACTTTTTAAACCAAGTATCAAAAACATGTCTTTTCTGGTTTGGTTTTGGTTTTGAGTTCGGTTTAATATTTGGTTTTAAGCTTATATTTTAGGAAATTAATTAAACTGTTAATAAATGGTTAGTTGTTCAGTTTTTTTTTCATAACTTTGACTTTATATAGTTTTTACCACCTAATCTCACTTACCGTGCATTAATTAACTTATGCTACTCAAAACTACAACTCTAGACTATAGACACATGTTTTTCTATTAGTCTATATACCTTACCTCTAATGCGAAAAATCGATTTCTAAAAACTTCGTATCTAATGCACAGGTATGGAAGCTAAAAACTACGCGAAAGCTAATATCCTGATTTGGATATTGGATACTAGCTATATGACACAATTGAATGAATTGATTAATGGACTATCAAAGTGGAGAGGATCAGCGGAATTGTCATTATTTTGCCTGCCATCAAAGCACCTCACTGGGTTTTGTTGCCTTTCTCCAACTAAAAATAAAAACACAAACACATTATTGATCATCGAGAAATGTGTAAAGATAAGATTTCTCGACCAAACACGAGGAAAATAAATTACTCCAGGAATAGTCTTCATTATAAGAAACTTTGGCTTCGATTGGTAACCAATTTTGAGAAAAAAAATGAGTAGGAATGTCATGTTTTTTTTGTTCTTCATTTTTTTTTACCATTTATAAGGAATCTTTGTTCCATTTTCAGACATGTGGATCCTACATTTTTCCTCTTCATTTCTCAAAAAAAAAAGAATGATAGAACAAAATTGTTCCTCCCCAAAATTGTAGAGGAACAACAAGGAACAAAAATTTAAAATTCGTTTTTAATTTTTAAATAATTTTAAAATAGCTTTTTTGATAATATTTACATTTTTATACATAAATAATTCCTATATTTTTATTATATATTTATGTATAAAAAAACTTTTATCAAAACTTTAATTTAAATGAATCTTATGACTTTGTTTTAAATTAGTATTTATATTAAAATAAATAAATAAATGCTTTCAAAGTGAAATTTATATTATTTTAAAATAAAATATTTGAATTTATACTATATTTCGTTTCAATTAAAATAAAACATTAATTTTAAATAAACATTATAAACTAAATAAAATACATAATTTTTAATAATTATTATGTTAAATATTTGTTCAATTTTTTGGTTACCATTTACTATAATCATTTGTTCAATTCTTATGTTCCTTTTGGTTCCTGGTTTTGATCATTTTCCTTTCCTTTTTATTCCTTTTCATTCTTTTTTTTCTTGTTCCTATTGTTTTTTTTTTTGTCACCAATCGGAGCCTTTGTTTAATTTCATCACTATTTTGAGAAACAATATTAAAAAAAATTAACCGCTAATTTCTCGATTATGAACCATTCGCGGATCATCATTCGTTCAAGACTTTAAATAACATTTTAAGCAAAGATCACTTATACTATAAGTAACACTATTAACCAAGTTGTGTTAACTTAATAATGTCATCTTCTGATCGAATTTAAATATAACATTTGCTTTTCCACTACATATAATCCTCAACTACCACAAATTTCAACCGACGACAATAAATAAAATTGTGTGATTAGTTTGTAATTCGGATCAGTAGATCTAGTTACCCCTTTGGTAAGAGATCAACTTGTGATCACATTGTATAATCCCAATAAAATCCAAATTCAAGAAGAGTCAAATATCGAAGATGGAGTTATGCATGCATCATGTATCACATAATTTTTAACCAATAACGATAAAGTTCATAATGAGAAAATTAAGAGATTCGAAGCATGAGAAAGAAGGAGAATTAATCAACACAAAGCAGAAGCTCTGTCTCTTTTCTCAACTGAGACACAACCTCTCTGTAAATCCTTAAAAACCCTAATCTCCGAGTAATCCCTCAGATCCTCGAGACTCACGTACTGTTGCTTCACCATCTTCGACAAGTCTGTACCGGTCTCGTGCACCCATACGTACGGTAGGCACGTGTCGTCGTAGTACAGCCATCTACGTCCTTCCTGATCATCCACGTAAGCTCTGTGGATGCTTCTGTGTCTAAGCCTCTTGGAACGGCCAGGTTTGAGAGTGTGGACCCGTTTTAGGATTGAACCGACCCGAATTTGGAGCTCCACGGGACGGTCGGAGAGGTTCCAAAAGCGGGTGGAAGTGGTGGCGATGGAGCAAGGGAGTAAGTGGGTCCGGTCGCCGCAGCCACCGTAGCATTGTCGGAGGAAGAGGAGGAGGAAGCTGAGTCTTGGGAGCTTGTCTTTGATAGACTCTATCATCTCTTTTGTGAACTTCATCTTTGATGTTTTCATATTCATTTTTTCTCTCTCTTTCTTCTTTTGATGGCTCACAAGAGTGGGATACTGGATTTTGTATATATGTGTGTGCCAAATAGTAAATGCAAGAGGAATATCATTGTACTTTCAATACCATGAATTTTCTAAAAGAAAGTGAAAAACAAAAAAAGACAATTTCGGTTTACTAGTGATTGTAAACCTAACCAAACCTCAACCAAAGTTCTAAACCACAACGGGTTTTATAAATCGACTGGTACAAACAAAAATTATGTTGAAGAACCACAAAGATTGGAAATAAATCTGGTTGTATATTATTTACACCATATAAAAAGAAGGAATGAATATATCTTAACCAGATTAAAACCGGATAGTGGAATGTGTCCGTCCTTGTTTTAGTGATTCATCATCTTGATCAAGACCAAATTGAATTATCAATAGCGTGCGTCTCAAAACTTGTCTAGTTTTCGACTCATAAATTTGATTTACTTAAAAAAAAAAAAAACAAATGGAGCAATACTCTTAAAATATTAGTCTCAACTGATAATGATCTGTTTATTCAAAAATATGCTTCACATATAAAACCAGAAAATGTAAGAGATACTTATCCCAAATATTTGCGATTCTATTCATGTGGTGAAGGAAAATTTGGTATGTGTGACGCCGACAAATACTTCGTTATTTCTATTTATCAAGTTGATATACCTCGCTTCCTCCTTCCAAAAGACAACAATATAATTTGTTTGTTAAAGAAAACGATAAATAGTTATCGACACACACTTTGCCTGAACTTTCACCATTATGAAGTATGGAAACTTTAATCTCCCTTTTGGTTTCCACTGATGTGCCTTTTTCTTCTTAATATCAGGCTTTACAAATTACAATGAAGAAGATTATTCATCTGACCCAATTGAAATGATTAATTGCGGCATTATGTTCCTTGGACTCTGCCTTATTTTTTAAGTCTATATCTTTATCCTTTTCTCCTATAGAATACTGCTTTTAGAATCCCTGGAGATGATTACATGAAACCCAATTTCTCAATCAGCCAAACACCGTATGTAGAGGATTAAGAAATTAGAACAGAGGAATGAAACAGAGAGAAGCTAAGATACTTCCAAACTCAAAAGTCAGTTTATAGTTGAGCAAAATTTTAAACTTGTTCCTATTTATCATCCAAGAATTCAAAATTATTATTATCAGAAAAATGTCAACCAGATATACATATAGTACACAAGTGTTGCTCCAATCTCTTGCTATTATACAATAAAACTCAAGCTTGAATTGAGTTTTCGCAAATAATAATATGAAATATTTACTCAGATGTTAACCAAAAGTTCGAATATTACTAGAATATCATACATTTTCTAAAAATTACTCATATGTTTTGAGCATTTGTGTAATTACAATTAACACCCTTCATTAGTTTTTTTTAATTAATAATTTTTAATTCGTTTTTAATTAAAAATAATAATAAAAATTTGATTATTCATGTCATTAATCCACATCACCAATCTCACACTCCTCAAACTCACGTTATTTCTCCTCTTCTCTTTTTTGTCTCCAAATCCAAGAAAAACTTTTAGATCATTTCTCCTCTTCTCTTTTTTTTTTGTCTCCAAATCCAAGAAAAGCTTTTAGATCTAATAATCTGCAACTAACTTGGATACAACATTGACAGAGATCTTCAAATTGCAGGATTGGGCTGGATCTTCCTAGACCTCACAGCCACAACGCTTGCCATAGGGTCCCAAATCAAAAGCTTCGTCAGATCTACTCGCAACCACGCTCACGAAAAAAGTCATCAAAAATCAAAACCCAAAACAAAGAGATCTATGGAATTCTACATGATTCGTTACAGGTTTGAGTTGAAATCAAGAATAGCTACTCTTTTACTTTGATTTTCCATGTCTCTCGTTTAATCTTCCTCTCAATCGATCTATTTGGAGACATTTCTACTTCTATCTATGTTTTGATTCATACGGTTTGGTCTTCCTCCTATGTATCCCTCAAACATATTTTTACGAATCTTAATTTGATTGTTGTTATTTGACCAATAAATTTCATATTGTCTTCTCCAAAAAATTGTTGCTTTCCGATCTGTATTATAAATCAGCCGTAAAGTGATGTAACTCAGCCGTAACGTGATGTAACTCACCCGTAACATATAATTTACACAACCTTTCGTCTTCCCTGAATGATAACTCAGCCGTGACATGTAATTTACCGAACCTTTCGTCTTCCCTGAAGCATATAACTCACCCGTAACATATAATTTACACCCATCTATCGTCTTCCCTGGAGAATATAACTCAGCCGTGACATGTAAATTTACGGAACCTTTCGTCTTCCCTTAAACATATAACTCAGCCGTAATGTAATTTTACCGAACCTTTTGTCTTCCCTGGAACATATAACTCAGCTGTGACATGTAAATTGACCGAACTTTTCGTCTTTCCTTAAGCATATAACTCAGCCGTAATGTAATTTTACCGAACCTTTCGTCTTCCCTGGAACATATAACTCAGCCGTGACATGTAAATTGACCGAACCTTTCGTCTTCCCTTAAGCATATAACTCAGCTGTGACATGTAAATTTGCAGCGAAACAATAAGAGACGCAACATTTCCTCTAACTTTATCATCGAGCACCAACTTCACAAGTTTTTTGTGCGTTGTTTTCGCATCTATCTGCACAACTCTACACCCTCTTTCATCGGTGTTAAATACGTATTTGTGTTTTTATACCCAATTACTGGAACCTGATCAACCATATCGGGAGAAGGATGAAAGAAATTAAAGAAGAATGAGGAAGACGATGAGGAATTGGAAGTTCCGGTGATGTGATAAACTCAGGTGAAGAAGACGAGTTGAAAAATTTGTCCCTATTTTTTTGTCTTTTGATGATGATGACATGGAATGATGACATGAAATGTTGCATCCACGTCATTTTTTAATTGATGAAGTGGCAAGTAAGCCACCAAACGAAAATGTAAATCAGCTTAATTAAACCAGCCATCAAACAAAACTTTAACTCAGCCGCAACATGAATACTATTACAGTAATTAAAAAACGAAAAAACGGCAGCCAAATTCAGCCGTTTACTGTCGTAACTCAACCAAAAATATTTAACTCAGTCGTGTCGTTTAATAAGTCGGCCGTCATTGCATGCTATTCTAGTAATTAATCTTTCGCTACTAAGTCAGCCATAATAAGGCCGAGTTTTCCGTTAATCCAGCTTATTACGGCTGATTTATGATACTCGAACATAAATCAGCCGTAACGTCATCCCATAACTAAGCCATCTTTGATAACTCAGCCAGCCGGAGAAAGTTAAGTCAGCCGTGTCGAAGCAATAACTCAGCCGTCACTGCCGCTATATCGCTCGACGGCTGAGTTCATTAATACACGTCAGCGATTTCTGACGTGGCGACGTGGCTTTGCTGACGTGGCAGTGGTATTCTTTGTAATTACGTTTTTTCCTGTAACGTTTAACAGGAGCACGCTGGGTATAAAAAATATACCCGAAATATGATAGTAATAAAAAAAAGATCTGTATGTTTCTGGTAATTTCATATAAAATGTATAACATCTGAGTAAATCTCCCTGATAATAATCTATACTTCAAAAAAATTAAGTCTACACATAAATAAAGAATCCGTGACTCTTCTTCCTAAACCAAACTTTACCATATCTATCTTACACACAATGCATTCAGCAATACGTGAACGAGCATCAAATCCACAAAGTACTGATGTCCGATCTCACCGTCCCTCCACCGCATTTTCGCAGGAGCTCTTCCGTAATGAACTCCATCGTTGCACCTGTTATCATAATGCCACGGATACGTCATATCGAAGTTATCAACTACGCTTGTGACCAATCCTGCGTCCCTCATTTTCTCGAGAAACACTCCGTTAAACGCCTCCATTTTACTCGGGTTAAAAGCTAGCGTTCTCGCGTAACCGCCTGTCGCGATTGTGTTCCTGAAAATCACTTCTGGCGGTTGCAATCCCCTGCTTTTGACCCCATCAAATATATCTCTCCAAAATGCAGCTGCAGTTTCTGCGCCTTTCGCAAAGGCTCTAAGACTAGTCCAGTGAATCCCGTCGTGTAGACCCGAGTTCACGATCATCACGTCGGGAACACGGTTTGTTTCTTCCGTGAAGTATTTCTTGAGCAATTCTCTAAAGTCCCTGTCTTTGAGTGAATCGAGGCCCTGGTAGTTCTTGGTCTCGTTCCAATGACCGTTAAAAATACTCGTGATCCTAACAGTCTCCAATGGGTTCTTCGGATTCGAAAACTTCATATCGAATCTCCTCGGGACAGCGGGGATTTCCGGATGACCCAAGACGAAATTCAGCAAGTTTCTGATCGAATCAACATGATTCGAATCTCCCCAGAAGAAAATCCATTTGTCTTTCAAGCAATCCCAAGCCTTTTCACCAGAGAAGAGCTTGAAGGAGCAATGACTCGAGTAAACCCACCCATTGCTCTCTATCGCTCCAACCGCTCCGTCGCACCACGGTTTCCGGCAAGGAAAATCCGCAGCAAGGCAGCGGTAACGGCCGTCATTGCTAATCTGACACTCATCATTCTTGCCAAGCCTAGTCCACCGTCCGGACCAAGCAGCTCTGTTAAAATCAGATTTTTTACATGACCGGAGCTCCGGCAGAGTAACGTCAGGCTTCTTGACGAAACGTAATTTAACATTGCGAAGCTTTCGGTCAAAGCCTAAACGTGAGGTACTGAACTTAAGACCTTGGTAGTGACGGAAGAGCAAAATGACGGTGAAATTGTAATCTCCGGCGAACTCAGGATGAACCTGTAACGAGAAAGAGTAAGTTCCGTTACCGAAATCTTTCACCGGCGGCCTCGATTTCCAATTCTCGCCGGATAAATCAGTCTCGAAATAGTCCCCACCAATGCAAACGTGTTTTCCAGATTCATCTATGGCTTGAATTTTGAATTCATGAATCTCACCGGCGGTTAACTCCACCGAATCATTCCCGTCGACGCCGGCAACTGAAATCTCGACGGTTTTCGCTTCTCTGCACGGCTCTCCTCCCGGAGCCAGCCAATTTCTCATCAAATTCGCCGTGAAATTCTTCTGCAATTCGGCGGCAATCCACCCGAATTGGACCCGGGTCAAGTTTGAAGTGAGATTCGTCTTCTTCGGAACCAGATTTCGTGGAACCATCGTCGTCTTCAAAGTGAGATTTTGGCGGTGAGGTTTCTCTGATACTAGATTGGGTTTCGGTGACATTAAAGGCGACGGAGAAGGACTGATTCGAACAGAGTATGCATTGAATCTCCATGGCTCAACGAAGCTTTGAATCGAACAACCGTCAATACTCCAAACGACTAACATGAGGAAGAAGACGAGTGCAGTAAGAGCACCAAGCCGCCATTGAAGCAGAGGGCTTGGCCGTAAAAGCACCAATTGGCTCGGTACCGGAGGCAAAATCATTCCTTTCTCCGGCATCTGAAGATCCGACAACAAGAAACAAAAACCCAGAAAAGAAGGATACAAGTGAGAAAAATCACAAACACAATTTGACGACAAACAAAGACAATTACCGAGATTAGTTTTTTCTTTTTCTTAAGTAAAACATCAGTTTTTAGATTATTATACCGAGAAAACATTAAAGGTCAAAAATCACAACTTTTATAGTAAGATAAAAACATTAAACTTACTCTAAATGCTTCAACGATGGATAACTTCTCCAAACTCGTAGAAGATGATGATGATTGATGACAATGAATGATAAACAATCCACAATTAGCAGTTTTTTTATTCTTGGACAAGAAGAACCTTAAAATCCTCCCAAAAATTTCCAGAAGAGAGAAAAAGGAAACTAAAGGGAGGATTAAAAAGTCTTTGATTTTTTTTTTTTTGATTAAACAAAACCAAATATACTAATAAGTGCAAAAATAAGGAAAAGAACTCAAAAATTTGACAGCTTAAAATTGATCTTCCAAAGAAAATTTAGGATTCTGATGAGTGCAGCCAAAAAAGCAATTTAGAGGAGGTGGACGGAGAGAAAAAGACAATTTTACGCATAGACGATTATACCCCTTGCGTTTACGGGATTTACCATGACACCAACCCGACGACCGCGCTAAATAATTGCCCAGCGGACATGTGGGCAACGAAGTCGCGTCGGTGTGCCGGTAGGGGTATAATTGTCTTTTCGTTTAAACAATTAATACGTCGTGTGTGGTGTTGATTGGCGTCACATGCATTTGTTTTGTTATTGTCCTCTCTCTCCACCGCCGCTCTTTATTTCTCTGCAGGAGAAAAATCAATATGGGAGAAAAAGGAAAAAAAAAATTGTTTTGTTAAAAAAAAGGATTTTAAATAAGAGACGATGGGGTACTTGAAAAGGAAATTAATTGCTTACAAGTTACAAGAAAATAGTAATTATCCAATTCAGATTCAGATGTTTTTTTGGCTAAAAAGATAAAAGAGCTAGCTCAGATGTTATAATTATCATCAGTAGATGAAAAACCGTTGGAGATTTAGTACAACTAACAATTTTAGATAAGACAATATAAGATTTTTCTTATTCTTAGATTATTAGTTGCCTATTTTCAATACCACATTAGCTTAATCAAAGTGTCCATTCACATTATTCACAAAAATAGTTCATCTATTTTATTTATTAATCTTACTACTTTGATTCAAAAATTCTTTTTTTTTTATTGCCCAAGATAGAATTTAGCTTATAAATAAACATGATACTTGTGTTAGTTTGAGTTTTAACATTCTCTAATAAAAATTTGAACCAAACTGAAAAACTTTAAAGAGCAAGAGAATATTGAAGTAAGTAAGATTAAACAATTAGAGAACCTCCTCACTAAACGAGCTTATACGTTTATGGTTCTAATCTTGAATATATTGTTGGCCGTTGAGACTCTGTTTTTTTTTTTTTTTTAACATGTGACTTTTAACTCCAATGCTACCAAAAGTCTTCGGCCTATGAGAAATCACACACAATCTTTCATTTTTAGGTGTGAATTATGTGGAATGAACATAGATAGTAGCTCGTTTCTTCAGCCAATAATGAGAGTTGAATGAGAGTTGAGTGGTAGTTAAGAATTAAGGATAAAAAACACATTTGTGTGAGAAATCTAGGCTTTGGCTAAAGGCCTAAGTATTTTACCTGGTAGTCAGTAACATGCGATCTGGCTACTCCTGGCATTAGTCGGAAAGCATTCGAAACTCGGGACATATAGTGTGGTGGCCCTTCGGGGAGAAGTCCACTCCGAAACACTTCGGTGCGTTTCTACCGGGGCTGACCGAATCAACCGATAGGGTTTATATAAAAAAAAATAATAATAATAATGAGAGTCCCTACTATCTTAATATTGGGCAAAATTAACTATTTAATGGGCTTGATAGTATTGTTAGCATGAAAGCCTTTTATGATTTTGTTTCAGTGAGGAGCAAAAACGCTTATAAAAGCTGAACTCTGCTTCTTTTGTCACTGATTTCTTTCTCACCTGATCTGTTGCAGATATTTGGTCAAAGTGTTAAAGCTGAAATAAAAGAAAGTTAAAAAGCAATGCTACTTTCTCATTGGTTCTGCAAAGAGAAAGGACAGAAAAAACAGGTTCGTACGTAAGAAACACACATTAACTGTGTTCTGCTTCTTTTGCTCTCTCTCTCACTTTTCTCTTTTTTTTCAGAATTCAATCTCTCGACTTTTTCTTCCTAAGTAGAACCGTTTGGACTAGAAAAACTCTTCTCTTTGGACCAGATCAGCTTGCTTCTTGGTAATGATCTATCTTCTCTTTGTTACCAATTTCTCTTAAAGTTTGTAGCTTTCTTCTTTCTCCCTAACTCGTCTGCTCTCTTTGTCTCTGTCTCTCACAGTTCATACGTCTTCCATGGCTTCCAGTGATGTTCTTCCTCGATTCTTCACTGTTTTCCTCTCCCAGTACAGCTCCGAATCCATGGTGAGATTTTTCTCTGGAATATTTGTGCGACTTAAACTGGTTTCATGGAAAAAGCTGCTTGGTTTGATATGTTTTCAGTAGTGATGTGAAATGAGATCTGTAACATTATCTTAACTCTCTTGACAATGACAAAAGTTTTCACTTTCTTCACTAGTTAGCTTAAGATTTTCTCTGTTTCTGTTAGATATGTTTGAATATGGTAGAGTATGTCAAACTATACACTGGATTTTCTTAGATTTTTCTCCTTTGTTGAAAAATTGAACAAGAGATTTCGGTTCTTGTAATTTTTCTGTTAACTCCGCTTGCTTGCAGACAGAGTCTTTAGTTTATATTTTGCTCACTTTAACAGTTTAGTTTCTGCTGCATCTTTGTGTTGAGCAGGTGATACCACGTTCTTACTACGAACATTTACCACGTCGGTTGCCCAAAACTGCCATTCTCGTGGGAACTGGTGGAAGATTTTGGAAAGTAGCAATGACGAGCAGGCGAGAGCAAGTGTATTTTGAACAAGGCTGGGGAAATTTCGTGGCTGATAACGAGTTAAAAGATGGAGAATTCTTAACTTTTGTGTTTGATGGGCACAAAAGTTATGAAGTAAGTATCTATGGTCGTGGAGATTGCAAAGAGACTCGAGCAGTCATTCAAGTTGAAGAGATCTCTGATGACGATACAGAAGATTACAGCGTTTCTCTTCATAGCCTTAACAACGTTTCGCTTCATAGCCTTGACAATGATTCTCTTCAGGCTGATGTTGAGATAGAGAGCGATTCTCTTATGGCTGATGTTGAGATAGAGAGCGATTCTCTTCAGGTTGATGCTGAGATAGAGAGCGATAGTGACTATTCTCCCGAGAACCCGGACACAGCCTCTACCTCTGTTGAATCTGTTGAGGTGGTGAATCCAACAACAAGCATGACAAGCAGGCAGAGAAGTTGTAAGTAACACTGTCCTTTAATTGATGCCTTATAACCGAAGCTGTTTTGAATTGATCTCATGGGAATTTTGCAGACAAGAAGAAGACCATTGAGAATCCAACAACAAGCATGACAAGCAGACAGAGAAGTTGTAAGTAACATTGTACTTTAATTGATGCATATAACTGAAGCTGTTATGGATTGAGCTCATGGGAATTTTGCAGACAAGAAGAAGACCATTGAGAATCCAGAACTATATTTGGATGATCCAAACAATATTTGCTTTGAGACGTGTCTTAAGCTTAGAAAGTTTGAGCTGGTAAGACTTCCTTAGAAATAATACTATTTCGTCTCATTTAAATTTCTTTCATGAGTTGATTATTTACCTAACTAATCTTCTATACAGTTAGTTGATGCGCAGTTTGTGAAAGACTACAGCTTGAAATTCGGCGACCAGGTTGATTATATCGACGGATATGGAAAACTAACCGCGACAATGACGAAATGGGCAGATCAACGTGTTTGCATAAAGAAGTGGCAGAAAATATGCGATAGAAACAGTTTGACAGAGAATGACTCCATCTTGTGCGAAGTTCTCCGCAACGAAGACAAAGTGGTTTATGCAATCAAGATTCACATCTTCCGTGATGCAGCAGCAGCTAGCACTTGATTCTCTTTTGCAATTGGTTCTAGTCTTTTGTAGGCTACTCTAATTTCAAAACATGTCTCTGTGGTCTTTGTAGACTCTTGAATTCTCTTGTATTTTCAGCACTTAAGTAGGTTTCTGCTTGTTAGGATTAATTCTCTTCTCGACTTTGAATTCTATTTGAAACAAACACTTAAGCTTACTCGTTAATCACTCTGTTTCTATTATGATCATGTAAAATGGGTTAAAATGATAGTTTTCATTTGTTAGGTGCAGATTTAGTAATTTCTTGAAAATTTGATACCCATTCTTCCATAGAGACACACAAGCAACAGAAGAAGTATTTTGTTGGGAAAGTCAAAACACAAAAAATTCTCTCAAACAATGGCGTGTTGCTTAGCTTCGTGTTGTGCGTCGGCGACTTGTGGATTATGCTCGTCGGTGGCATCGGGGATAACGAGGAAATCTGCGAGGATCGCTTATTGTGGTCTCTTTGGTGCTTCTCTTGTCGTCTCCTGGATTCTTCGTGAGACTGGTGCTCCGCTCCTCGAGAAACTCCCTTGTACGATTCTCTGATCCATTCTAAGCTGGCTCTGTTAAAAAGGAGGTTCCTTTTAGCCGAGATTGATGATTGGAATTGAAAGAAACCATCAATTTTCGAAATTGAATCGAATCCGGTGGTTAACGATAGATTTGGGTGCTGGCTTGTGCTTGAACTTTCTCCTTTGCTGCTTAAGCATGTTGATTTAGATATCTGAATACTAAGACATGAGCGTTTAAGTGTGAATTTTACTTAATCAAGCTCTGTTATGGCAGAATTTGTACTCGTTCAGTGGAAATTTGGTTACTTTGTAGCTGCAACAGATTGATAATTGCACTAGAACATTAGAAATCTCAATTTGATGTGTTTGAAATTGCGTCTGACTATGCTTTGTGTTATACCTGATTGATCTAAGTTAGAGTTTTGAGTGTTGGAAAAGGAATCATCGTTGCCTAGTGATAAAAAATCTCCTTTTCGGATTTTGCCTGACAAACAGGGATCAACACTTCTGATTCATATTCCAAAGAATGGTACCAGCAGCAAGCTGTTCTTCGTGTGAGCTTTGGGAATTTCCTTTTCTTTGCTATATATGCTTTGATCATGATTGGTGTGAAGGACCAGAACGACAGGCGTGACTCATGGCACCATGGTGGATGGGGTTTGAAGATGATCGCCTGGTTTTTGCTTGTTGTCCTCATGTTTTTTGTTCCAAATGTTATCGTCTCAATCTATGGTAAGTTTTTCTTTGCTCCTCAAGATTTCACACATATGGTGTTATTGGAATTTTGCTTGTCTGCAAAATCCATTGTTGCTTACTTCATCAGGTATCAGTTGATGAGCTCGAATCGGGTGGGTTGGCAATTTGTGTGATTATATATTATGCTTTGGTGTAGCTGCAAGTATGAAAAATAAGTTGATGGAATTCTTCCTTTCCTGTTTCTATTTGCTAAAAGATTGAGACTTATAAGTTGTGTATTTTTATATCTTTGTTAAAAAGTGAAACCATATATGTGAGCTAATCGTTGTGCTGGCTCATTCTTTCAGGAACTTTGTCAAAGTTTGGTGCTGGAGCGTTTCTGTTGGTTCAAGTGGTCTTATTGTTAGATGCTACACATAACTGGAATGATTCATGGGTCGAAAAGGATGAAAAAAAGTGGTATACTTAACATCTCTTCTATGAATTTGTCATGTGTTTGTTCCATTATTCTGTCTTGGGCTTTTTTTTTGTTGAAGTTTGATTAATGATCATATTCTGACTAATGGGATTCTTTGTGCAGGTACATCGCTCTGCTTGTCATATCAATCGTGTGTTACATTGCTACATATGCCTTCTCAGGAATCCTGTTCATCTGGTTCAACCCATCTGGTCAGGATTGTGGACTTAATGTTTTCTTCATCGTTGTGCCGATGATCTTGGCCTTTGTTTTTGCTATTATTGCTTTACATCCTGCGGTGAACGGCAGTCTTTTACCGGCATCAGTTATTTCGGTTTACTGTGCTTATGTTTGTTACACGGGTCTCTCTAGCGAACCACATGACTATGTGTGCAATGGACTTAACAAATCCAAGGCAGTGAACGCAAGTACACTCATCCTCGGAATGCTCACTACAGTTCTCTCGGTTCTATACTCCGCCCTCCGAGCCGGCTCTTCCACCACATTTCTCTCACCACCGTCTTCCCCCAGATCAGGTACTTCACCAACCTCTTCGATATGCCTGGGCATTAGGTTTTTCGGTTTTGTGAATATGTAGTAATTCTGAACTAGACTCGGATTTTAGTTTCTTCTTATTTGCTGGAAACGTTATTTGCAGGTGTGAAGGATTCATTGTTAGAGGACCCCGAGGACGGGAAGAAGAAGAGTGGTGAAGCAGAGGCACGACCTGTGAGTTACTCATACTCCTTCTTCCATATCATCTTTGCGCTTGCGAGCATGTACGCTGCAATGCTTCTCTCGGGATGGACCGACTCATCAGAGAGTGCGACTCTGATCGATGTGGGATGGACCTCGGTCTGGGTCAAGATATGCACCGGTTGGGTCACAGCCGTACTCTACATATGGACACTCATTGCACCGCTCATCCTTCCTGATCGCGAGTTCTACTAAATACTGTAGATGGTAAAACGTATATAGTCCGGTCCGTTGAATGTTATGTATATGTTTATGTAGTCACTTAAAAGTGGGTATGGTCTTGTAATGGAAATAGCTCGTGTCACGTTTCTAGACTTGTAATCGAAGAAACCTGAATGTTGTTTGAATGGTTGTGTTGTTTTTATGATAAATAGTAGGCCACTAAATTTGGACTATGGAAATGTTCTACTTGAAGTCAATGAATCATTAGAGTGGACAGGAAAAGTTGAGCAAGAATCCAATCATAGTTTAAATTTGATCTAATCAATCATTTAAATAACTAAAACCTGCTACACATTTAGCAGCTTTTACCTTTTGTTATCATTGCTATTAGAATTAGTCTTAATTAGTTATACTATTGTTGATTCTTCCTTGTGCTTTGTCCTTGGAATAATCCTCAAGGACAAAATCTTTTATGTTAATCCGACAAACCACGTTTTTTCTTCTTCTTCTTTAATTGAATGGCTTATAGCAATTATTCATATCCTTTTACTTATGACCAATGCTTTACACGCAAAAAGTTCCAACTCTAATTTATTTTTCTATCAACAAATTGCATAATCATATGACAATGATTAGTTGTAAAATTTTGTTGTTCCTAGTATGACACGGACAATATTTTACATTGTTTAAGAAAAAACTGATAATAGTCTACAAACAACTATTTCCATATGGGCACAAAACGTAGAATAATTACACATATTTGATCATTTTCCCATTACCACATATGAAGAGAATTATCACAGTGAAAGAGACCAACTTTATAAAGCTTATACCTCTTGTTTTTTTTTTTGCTTCATTGATTGGCTTGCTTTCAAATTTTAAAGGATGACAAATGAGGTTTCTTTTATTGTCATTTGTCATTCTTTAAAATTTGAAAGCAAGCAAATCAATGAAGACATGACATGACTTATTAAACGGCTAGTTAACCCAAAGACTTGACATGACATGACACGTTACGTATGATTTGCTGAAATCTAAGATACCGTGAATTGCAATTTGCAAATCTGAAAATTAATTGAATCCATTATAGTTAATTTCGGTCGTGTTATCGTATTTTCCATAATTTCGTGTGAGAAGATGGACATATTCTTCTATGTAATGTCAACCATGGACAGACCATGTGAAATACTGATTAGCATCTATATATTTCAGATAGAAAACAACATCGTTTACCTCTAAGCCTCAAACATAGCATTAGAATTAGACATAACTATATCGTTCTGGTATGTGTTCAATAAAACTTAATGAAAACGATTTTCTTTGGTCTTTGGTAGACTTGAGCCAAATTGGTTTAGCTACTAACTCTAGACATTTTTTTTAAGAATTGAAAAATGTTCGACCGTTTTATTTTGGTGTAGCTTCTGACAGAACCAATTATTTTGGTCATTAGTATTTGAAAGAATTCAAATCACATTTTTAGTATCATGTATTTACTCTTTCATTATGTACTCTAGATTTTAATTTCAAAATACTAGAGAAAGTTAATACGTCATTTTCTTAAAATTAAAGAAGAAGTTATCCTAAAATGTAATTAGTTAAAATGTTGTTAATATTATTCATGAACTTATAAACTATTTTTTATGGTTTCAAACAAAACTACTCTATTTTAATAATCTCTTATCCTAACATGTAAGATTTTTATCAAAAATAAATATGTGTATAAATTTTAAATTAACTTTAAATCTAATTAATCACTTTATTTGAGTATATTTATATATTTTAAGTTATGAGAAATCTCTCTGCTCCCAATTACCGTTTTTTATTTATTTTATTTAGCTTTCCCTGAAAAATGGTTAATTACCAAATAAATGTATAGATACATATAAGAGATAATTATATGTAAAGGAGGCATCACCGTCGTCGTCGTCCTAACATGCTCCATCTCCTCCTTCTCTCCGACGAAGAACATTCCACCACCAATAGCATGCCCCCTTCCTCCTCCGCCTCTAGATCCGCCGCCAATCACAGCTCCTCCTCCTCTCTCCACCTCTGCAAGCACTCTCCTTCCGCGACTCTCGACCTCCTAATCCTAATCCTCGTCCTCTTCTCCGGCGCTTTCCTCCTCTCCTCTTACTTCTCCTATCTATTCCACTCCTTCTCTCTCCTATCCTCTCACTTCCCTTCCCTCTCCTCCTTGATCTTCTCCGACGATGAAGATCTATCTCCGATCCCTCCGGCGTCCTACTTCTTCGCCTTCGCCGTCTTCTTCGCCGCTTCGATTGCGTTTCTCGACCTATGTTGTGGACCCAGATCGAGGAAGTGTAAGAATCCCAAGTGTAAAGGTTTGAAGAAAGCGATGGAGTTTGATTTGCAATTGCAGACGGAGGAATGTGTTAAATCTGGAGCTACTAAGGAGATCGATCGATTGCCATGGAAAGGAGGAAGTGAGAGCAATCCTGATTACGAGTGTTTGAGGGCTGAGCTTAGAAGGATGGCTCCGCCTAATGGCCGTGCTGTTTTACTTTTCCGATCTAGATGTGGTTGCCCTGTCGCTAAGCTCCAAGGTTGGGGACCTAAACGAGGCCGCCGTCATAAAAAGTATGTCAAACCCTTTCCTACTCAAATCCCTTTTTCATTTGGTTGAAAGGAACTTGCTTTAGCCATGAATGTGTAGTTTGGTTGATCATCACTTTAGATTAGTAATGACTTGTGTGATCTCCATTGCTACTCTTAAGGGGATTTTAGATGAATACTTATGGATTTGGTAGCTTTGGTTCTTTCTTTTGATTCATGACAGTGTGATTTCTTCTCTATGAGTCATTGATTTGTGGGTTTCTTGGTAAAAGAGTTGTTTTGTGATATTGTTCATGGTTATGTTGATCAGATCCGCTGCATCTTGTACTGGAGTTATTAGTGTAGTAGATTCGAATCTTAGGAAAAGTACTAGCAAGTCAGATGTGAAGAAATGTGGGAACTTGGTTATAGAGTATGGTTCTTCTGCCTTAGATTGTTCTTATTAGAAATCAGGCTACTTTTAAGATCGAAACTGTATTTAAGGCATTGCCTTGTCTAGTTGATTTCCTTTCTCAATGGGAAACTCTTTCTTTACTGAAATTGTTGGTGCTTTGCTTTCCAAACTCTTTTTGTTAAGAATATCTGAATTTCATATATATAATAGCTAATGATTACAAAACTTTGAGATCCCATTTTGATATTTCAATGGTCATTTCTGGCTCCCTTGACTTCAACCCCTTGTATTATACAGCCTAGCACCAACAACATCTAAAAATTGGAGATGTGCTTGATAAAAATACATGGTGCTAGGTATCCAATTGGCAACAACCTTGAGTAGATGAATGTTTTCTTTTTATTGCTTTGTATGTAACTTGTAATAATTATCTACATATCTACTCTGACTAAGGTCGTTGGTTGGTTACTCATCAGTAGATTCTATGATTTTTTTTTTGTCGTGTGTGCTCTGATCAGACTTGTTCTCTTTGTTTGTTTGACTCACATCTCTCATTTAATCCATAATCAAGTTGAAGTATTTTTGGTTAAACATTTTGTTCTTAAGTCATTTTATTTCTTCTCTTAGCATCCTGATTCAGTTTACGCCGTTATCTTCTGCAGATCGCAAGCGAACTTGGCTCTAAAGGGAGGGGTAGACCATCGCTGATCAGGTCGATAGGAACTCTTCAATCTATCATTATAGATTTATCACATTCGATGTTTGCATAGTTCATCTTGGAAACTAGAGAATTCCAGACAGCTTTGTTTGCGGATTTTTTAATTTCTTTTACCTTAGAAATGTCCCAATATTACAACTTGAACACTTAACTTTTTATTGAACTACCTCACATACCACGCAAAAAAGGCAGAATCATATTTTTCACTTATGAACTACACTACATGACATCGCTGCACTTCCTCCTACGAATTTGTTTAGGCGATGGATTTCTCTATGTCGTGTTTGCTTGTCTCTTGCTTCTGATCTGCTGATTTCATTGCAAATCTACAAAATCTCGATGAGGGTTAGCTGTTTCATTAAGAATGTTGGTGTCTTTGGCGTTGGAACTGCTGTAATTTGTTTAGATCTCATTTTGTTCAGTCCCTTGGATTCTGGAACTTGCGAAAAAATGCTCTGATTATGTTCCTTTGTTTGCTTTAAGTTGGAAAAACGTTTTTACAACTAGTATAATCAAATGTTTCTGAAGATTCAACCAAATCAATTGTTTTTAAGGTTGGCCGTAAACTAGTATAATCAAATGTTTCTGAAGATTCAACCAAATCAATTGTTTTTAAGGTTGGCCGTAAAATAGCCGTTTCCTTGAATTCGGTATGTGTCCCTTTGTGGACTTTAAAGCTTTGTTGTGTGGTTGAGGCTTAAATAGTTCAGTCCTATGGACACATCAAAAGCTTATTGTCTGGGACCTCACAAATAAGAAAGCTTAATGACCTTTCTTGTATCAAACATTTTAGAACCAGTTTCTGCCATTATTGTTGGCAAGTCCAAATTTATCACTGAAGTCACAGGAAACTTTTTCCTTTAAGAGAAGCGGTTTTGGTCATAAAATCCTGTGGAAACAAACAAACAAAAAAGAAAAAAAAGAGAAGAAAAGAGAAAAAACAACAACATTTCACTCTACTAAGCTAGCTGAACAACACAGATCAACCACTAATCCTTTTACAATGACAAATGCACAAATCTTTACTCTTCTAAACTTCTGTTTACTTCACCATCATCATCTCAGGCTCTCAAAGTGACCTCTCTCTCTCAGTTAGTTGCTTAGTGTAACCGTTGCTTCACACGTCTCCCATTTAAGTCACAACCATCAGCAAATAACTCCTTTCGATGCCCTGATGATGTTAAAGAGTGCTCACTCAGCCTAGCCACATACTCCAATAGCTCACTTAGTAGGGACGGGCAGCTTTCCTTCAGATAATCAAACCCATCCGTTTCCATCACAGCTAACGAAATTACAAAAAATTAAAGACAACTTTTTATTACAAAGACAGCCTTCAGATTTCAGACATGATCAAAGTGACTCAAGCAAGAAGTGATCTTTTGTACCTTTTAGGTTTTCTGGAAAAGCTATAAATTTGAGGCAGGCGGCTTTCAGCTGGAAACAATGATGCTGCTCAGCAAGAGCCAAGGTGGTTGCAACCGTATTTATGCTGATTCCTTCACAGAGTTTTGACTCGCATATTGTTCTAAGCCGCTCAAGAGCATATCGGTCTGCAGCTGCAAGCAGATGCTGAGCCACAAGAGTTGATGCCCATTTCAAGTCTGTGCCCATTAAGTCTTGCATATCAGGCAATTCGTCCCAGTAGATAAAATGGAGCAACATCTGCAACAACAACAACAAAAAAAGCACAATAAAACAAAAGGAAAAGGGAATTTGTATCAACCTACGCTTCAACCTTAAATTTTCACATCGACTAAAGACCACTCTAAACAAAGAAAACTCGAGCTGTGAAGCAGAAAATGGTTCAAATTTGACATGATCACCTATAACAAAATTTCTCCATGAACTTACTGCATACGAGAAATGGAGACAGTGCAGCTATGAATTAGCATATAGACATTCATGCATTCCAAAAGAGAAGTAGAAAGATAAAACCTTATCCCATGAGCAGCACCCCAGGAGAAGGTCCCGGATTGTACACTCGTAAACAGAAAAGCCTGTTATCACACCACAATCACTCAGTTATCACACCACAATCACTCACCCGAGAAAAGGTAAGGAACCAAGAAAGCTATCTCTTCTTATAAGGCCATAAGCTACTCCTGAAAGCTACAAATATAAAATTCTACCAAGACATGCCAAGGAAAAACATATTTAGTCCAGAAAAAGAGTTAAAGGGAGGACCTTGAAAATAGGGGCTTGTATGTCTTCTATGATTATACATTTGGTATTTTCACTTCTCAACGGGCCAAAAAGCTGTGCCCTCAAAACTGCAGAACGTGCTGCAAGAACCAATTTGTGAGCAGGAAATGTTTCTCCATCAACTTTGAAATTAACATCAGCTCCTTTCCCACTTTCCAAAAGCTTTCCAAACTGCTGACCCAAGTCAGAAACCGGCACGGGGATATTGTAACACCTTGGTCCTTCTGTGCGTGACTTCACCACTCCAACACAACACCGGACCAAGAGACCATTGTCCTTCAGATAGTCCGATGACTCCAAAAGAGACCTCTTGAAAAAACGTTTGTATCCCCTAAAAATAAAGCAATTATCAGCAAATTAAACATTTAAGAGACCCATACATATCACTAATATCTAAACTCATCAGTACAAGGCAGAGACTAGTCCATAGCATTACTTACCACATACTTCCTCGATATTTAAGAGTATAGGGTCCGCTTTCTAGAGTTCTACCAAAATGGCTATGAACCTTGTGCCTTTCGTTACCGCTCTGATCCACGAGTGTGAGCTCAAACAAAGCCCTAACATCGGCTCCTTCGCTCGCGAGGGCTATGAAGAGAGACACGTACACAGAATTATCCTCTGGACTTTTTCCATCTGGGTAGAAGTAGATCGCCCAAGAGTAGCCACCAACCATGAACGTATCCGAGGCAACGTATTTGCCAATCCCCATCCCTTTGACCAAAGAGTAGCCGCTGATCTTGAATTCGTGGGAGCCATTGATGGTTTCCGTGCGAGAAGTCGACTCCGTGAGCGACTGTGAGGTCGATTTCGAAGATCCAGGAACCTCCGTGGAAACCCTAATTGTGTCCATCAAACAAAGACGAGATCCAAGAATCACGACTTTGGTAAGAAATTGTTGGTTTCTTCGATCTTCTTACCCGGAATAAGTATCTTTCCGCTGCTAAAGTCTTCAAATTTCAGAAGAAGACGGGAGATTTTCCAGATTGATAGGCGACGAAATTAGGGTTTCGAATCACAGGGGAAATTTCGAATTTTGAGAGCACGGGCGAGAAGAGAAATGGTGGATTCAACGGAATCAGAAAGTGAAACCGATAATCGCCGGAACTCAAGAACTGAATCGTCGTGGATCGTGAAGAGAGAGAGATGCGATAGAGAGAGGAACCAACCCACTTGATTGATCGGTTTAACTTTTAAACACAACAATTTGGTAGGTTGCGAATAATAACGTCGAACATTAAAATAAAACCCAAAAAAGATTTTATTTTTATTTTTAAAAGAGCCATTTTTGAACAAGAAAACCCTAGATATCGTGCTAAGAAGAAGAAGATACAGGTAAAATCGCGGCAAAAGCTCTTTGGGAATCCCAAAGGTTGATACTTTAATCCCCCCCAAATGATTCGCAAGCTCTGTTCTTCTTCTTTCTCTCGCTCCATCATCTTCCCCAACAAACCCATCTTCATCTCCCGCTCTTTCCCTCATCCACTACTCCGTCACTCTTCTGCTCTCTCTTATTCCTCCTTGAAAATGACCGATACCCAGATCCCTGATAACTCTAGTTCGTCCTCAAATCAATCTCCCACCAAACCCGAATCGCTTCGTTCCCTCGAATTTCAATTGGGTTCTTCTTTCACCGCCGATCCAATTATCCCACCGCCGAATCAGATCGTCATCGTTATCAGTGGTCCGAGCGGAGTTGGCAAAGACGCAGTGATCAACAAGCTTCGTGAGGTTCGTGAAGGTCTACATTTCGTTGTTACCGCCACTAGCCGTCCGATGCGACCTGGTGAAGTTGATGGTAAAGACTATTTCTTTGTCTCGAGAGATCAATTCTTATCAATGGTGGAGAACGAAGAGCTTCTTGAATACGCACTTGTTTATGGAGAGTACAAAGGGATTCCAAAGAAGCAGATTCAGGAGTTTATGGCTAAAGGGGAAGACATTGTTCTTAGAGTTGATATTCAAGGAGCTCAGACGTTAAGGAGGATACTTGGTAACTCTGCCGTGTTTATATTCCTTGTGGCGGAGAGTGAGCTTGCGATGGTGGAGAGGTTGATTGATCGGAAGACGGAGAGTCAAGAGGAGCTGCTTGTTAGAGTTGCTACGGCGAGGGAAGAGGTTAGGCATCTAAAGAACTTTGATTACGTTGTGGTGAATGCAAAAGGGAGGCTTGATGATGCGGTTAATCGCGTGGAATCCATTATCGATGCTGAGAAATCCAAAGTTCATCAAAGGATTGTCAGGATTTGATGTGCTGGTAACTTTTTACTTGCTTCAAAGTTCTCTGTTTTACCAGTGTCTGATTGATATAAAAACCTTGACTTGCTTAGATTCAATTGAGGAATTAAGCTTTGTAAAGTTCGGTTCTGTAGTACCAAGTTTTGATGGGACTAAAATGTGAAGTTTTGTTTGCTACTTGAGGAAGAATAGATACAGCTAGAGAAGCCATTTTAGTAAAGCGTTGAGAGATAGGAAGATGATTATGCGTTGATTGATTTTAGTTACTTACTTGATCTGCTTTTGCTGCAATGCCACCATTCGTTGTAAAATCTAGCTAACCACCTGGCTAAATTAGTTGATCCAGCATGCTATAATGTGTTTTGAATCCTTAAAATGACTGGAATTATCTGGTTAGAAACAGGAAGATCTTGTGCAGCTGATTTGTTTAGGGAGCTTCTTGCAAAAGTTCTTAGGTTTGGCAATGTCATTTAGGAACTATGGTTTGGGTATACCGAATGCAAATGTATTTGCGCTGTTAACGCTTTCACTATTGTTCTTGCAGATTGCTTGCTGTCTCCAGTCACGGTTTCATCGCGAACCAAGACAATTTTGGTATCTGTACAAGGGAAATGAACATTCAGGTGATTCCTCCCTGTTACAAGGAATCCTTTTGAATCAAAGTTAGCTAAATGGATTCTGTTATTATCATACTCACAGTTTGATTAATCGTGTTACTTAATGTTATGGAGCATTGTTGATAACAATTTAGTTAGCATTCACTTAATCAATCTTTACAAGATGGTGGGTGGCGGCTGAGTTCCAAGGCTTTCGGAACATGTTTATTCTTAATGAAAAAGAAGGTTCAAGATATCTTCCTCATCCAAAAATAAAACAAAAATAGAGATAAATTTCATAAATTAATAAGGTGATAACCAAAATATAAGATAAGCCTTTGAGCTTGACACAGAAAAGATTATCTACTATACATTTTTGCAGCAGCTTTTGGGGTACCCAAATCGGGTCAAATTTGTTTAATTTTGACCCGGAAATCTTCAATCGGATTTTTCCTTAAATTTTGGCAAAATTAAAAAACGAAAATAATTAATAAAATCTAAAATATATATACTTTCTCAACTAATTACTATATTTAAACGCTTTATTTATGGTATATTCTCCACGATTTTATAGATAAAGAAATCAAATATGATGATTTAATGCTAATATAACAAATTTACACTAATTTCCTAAAACCTCTCTACCTAATTTAAACATAAATATATGATTCTTATTTCACTTTTATTTGATCTTATATTTATATTATTTTAAATTATTATAAAATATATAAATAGTTAGTAAATTTTAGTTTTTTTTTTTCTGCATATGTTACAATTCAAATTTTTTAAAACGGACATATATTACTCAATCGATGAATAAAAATATGTGTGTAATCTATATTAACATTTTTAAGAACAAATTGAACATTTAATCATGTCGTTATTTTATTCAGACCCGAAATTGAGTCATTCGGATCTTTCTTTAATTTTTACAATTATCTAAAATGGGACAGTATATCACGGGTGAAATCCTAATTAGTATTTTAAGATACAATTATAAATTGTTTTTACGGGTTGGTCCAAAAACACACTAATTTAAAAATATACATGGAAACTATTTGAAAGCAACTTTCAAATTAACTCGAATTATATGACATTTAAATAAAAGTGTTATTAAAAAAATAACAAAATGATGTTTAATTTCATTTTAGATTATATGGTTGGACGGGTTTGGGTCAATATTAATACGAGACAATATACCACAGGTGAAATCCTATAAATAACAAATCAAAATACAATTATACAATCTTAAACACTAAACAAAACAAATACAACTTAAAAATTTTTATTTTAGATACAACGTATGTGACCCGCGGTATACAACAAAAAATATTATACACAATAAATTCATCAATTTATAAAAATAAAAAAATCAAATAATTAACCCGCGGTGTACCGCGGGTCATATCCTAGTTTCATACATTATTCTAGTGCCGTACGTCAACTCTTAATTTCCAAAAACTCATGACATATGTGAACAGAAAATATTGACTTGAGTTTGACGTTTCTTATGATGTTCATAATTTGCAAACCGAATTGCGGATTAATTAATAATAAGATGCAGAATAGCTTTTGTTTTGCTTGCTGAAGGACAATCAATTTATGTTACTACTATTTGTACGTGGCACAAGACAACATGGCGGCTAAACATAAGTCAAGCAACATGCCTCTCATCAAGTCAATGACATTTCTTTCTTTAGAAGGAAGATCGCCTTCTTGATATAATGATTGGATGAAGAAGAAAACACTTTATGATTATTGTGTGACAGAAAATAAAACAGCAATTTGAAGTTACACTTTCTTGCACACTTCCTTTTTCAATTTTCGCCTCATTGTTGTCTTCTTCTCCACTCTTTGCTTTTCTTCTGTCTTGTCTCTTATACACACAAATAGATGCAACATATATATAATCATGCCTTTTCTCATTTGTATCCATCATTAACGAAATCCTAAATAAAAATAATAATAACGAAAAAGGAAAATTCTCGTAAGGTTTAATGTATTCCGAGAATTTTGGAGAGGATGATCGGAGCATCCATTTGCAGGTTTTTCTTTTCTTGAAACTACACATATAAAAGTTTTGTGCTTCACACTTTTTACTTTCACTTTAGGTTTTAATTCGATTAGTCTTCAATACATTTTTAAAACATTGTTGATCATTGTATGTATATGAGATAACATGCCTCAGTTTGTTCTAATAATAGTCTTACTACTTGCATGGTGTAATTCCGGAAAAACGGTCTATTTCCCCATGAGAAGTATGCTTATCACACCAGATAGAGCCCGTCTCTGGTACCTCTCAGAGGTCCGTGGTTAAGTTATCTTTTCATCGATTTTCGCTCATTTTCTTTTTCTCGGTTCTTCATTCGTCGTGTGGGCAGGTCTCGTCGGTATGTTTTTTTTTTTTTTTTTTTTTCTTCT